AAGGGCGATAATTAAAGCAGCTTATAGTAAATTTATCGAGTGTGATAATGATGTGGGAAAGGAGGATAATTAAACCAGCTTATAGTAAATTTATCATGTGTGATAATCACGTGGGAAAGGAGGATAATTAAACCAGCTTATAGTAAATTTATCCTGTGTGATAATCATGTGGGAAGGGGCGATAATTAAACCAACTTAGAGTAAATTTATCCTGTGTGATAATCATGTGGGAAAGGGCGATTATTAAACCAGCTTAAAGTAAATTTATCCTGTGTGATAATCATGTGGGAAAGGGCGATAATTAAACCAACTTAGAGTAAATTTATCCTGTGTGATAATCATGTGGGAAAGGGCGATAATTAAAGCAGCTTATAGTAAATTTATTCTGTGTCATAATAACGTGAGAAAAGAGGATAATTAAACCAGCTTATAGTGAGTTTATCCTGTGTGATAATCATTTTGGAAAGGGTGATAATTAAACCAGCTTGAGGTAAATTTATCCTTTGTGATAATCACATGGAAAAGGGCTATAATTAAACCAGCTTATAGTTAATTAATCCTGTGTGATAATGATGTGGTAAAGGGTGATTATTAAACTAGCTTATATTAAATTTATCCTGTGTGATAATCATGTGGGAGGGGGATAATTAAACCAGCTTATATTAAATTTATCCTGTGTGATAATGATGTGGGAAAGGGAGATAATTAAACCAGCTTATAGTAAATTTATCCTGTGTGATAATCAGGTGAGAAAGGGTGATAATTAAACCAACTTATAGTAAATTTATCCTGTGTGATAATCACGTGAGAAAGGGTGATAATTAAAGCAGCTTAAAGTAAATTTATCCTGTGTGATAATCACGTGAGAAAAGGTGATAATTAAACCAACTTATAGTAAATTATCCTTTGTGATAATCATGTGGGAAAGGGCGATAATTAAAGCAGCTTAAAGTAAATTTATCCTGTGTAATAATCACCTGGGAAAGGGGTGTAATTAAACCAGCATATAGTAAATTTATCCTGTGTGATAATCATGTGGGAAAGGGCGATAATTTAACCAGCATTTAGTAAATTTATCCTGTGTGATTATCACATGATACCTGACCGGTGATCAACAGAGCTGCACACAATTTACTTTTCAAAAAAGTTGCATATATTTTTGTAAAGTGTACATCAATTATAATCTATATCCACACCTTTTTATTTGAAGAATTTAATAACTATTAAGAAAACTTTTTAGTAGGATTTTTATAATATTGCCATTCAGGCCATTATTCGTTGGTGGATTTGTTTATTTAATTGCATTAAATGATTGTGAGACTTTGTAAATAATAACACATGTACAGGTTTGAATCAAGACAAGTGGGCTAGACATTCTACCCATGTGCATGTCTTCCTCTGGACCTATCTGAGGCATTTGACTTATAAAACCATAAACTACTACTTAAAAAAACCTACCTTTTTATCCTCTCTCTTCACAAGCTATCAATTGGATTCAATCATATCTGTTAGAAAAGTATCAAAATATAAATGTTTCTGGTGTATTATCTGAACCAGCTGAGGTTGTCTCAGGTGTACCCCAAGGCTCAATCCTTTGGCCCCTTTTTAGCTCGACTATTCGAAGAATATGAGAGCTATTGTAGACGCCCCGGCGTCCCCGTCTGCGTTGGTTAAAGTTTTTTGTAAAGTCAAATATCTCAATTATTACTTGAGATATTTAATTGAACCTTACAATACTTATTTATAGTAACAAGGTTCATCAGATTGACAAGTAGGATAACTCTGCCTACAATTTTGACAGAATTATGCCCCTTTTTAACTTAGAAATTTTGGTTAAAGTTTTTTGTGAAGTAAAATATCTCAATTATTGCTTGAGATATTCAATTGAAACTTACAATACTTATTTATAGTAACAAGGTACATCAGATTGACAAGTTGGATAACTCTGCCTACAATATTGACAGCATATATGCCCCTTGGGAACTTAGAAATTTTGGTTAAAGTTTTTTTTGTAAAGTCAAATTTCTCAATTATTGCTTGAGATATTCAATTGAAATTTAAAATGCTTTCTTATAGTAACAATGTACATCTGTTTGCAAAATTGCATAACTTTGCCTGCAATATTTGCAGAATTATTTACCCCTTTGAAACTTAGAAATTTTGGTTAAAGGTCTTCAAAGATATTTACTTGAAACTTTACACATGCATTTAGGGTCATGATTCATATCCCCTTTTTAACCAGGTTTTCCAAAGGAAAAAACTGGTTATTAGATTGAGGTATGTCGGCGGGCGGATGGGCGGGCGGGCGTCAACAATTTCTTCTGTGCGCAACTTCTTCTACATTTCTCAACGGATTTTGACCAAACTTTCACAGAAGCTTTGTCATCAAGTGCCCTGGCGCATATTGTCGGGGTTTTGCGATTGGATAATATTTGACCTAATTATGGCCCTTTGTTTTTTTTCCTTATATTGAATATATAGTGAACAATTTCTTCTTTGCGCAACTCCTCCTACATTTCTCAACAGATTTTAACCAAACTTTCACAGGAGCTTTGTCATTAAGTGCCCTGGCGCATATTGTCGGGGTTTTGCGATTGGATAATATTTGACCTAATTATGGCCCTTTGTTTTTTTCCTTTTAAAGAATATATAGTGAACAATTTCTTCTGTGCACAACTCCTCCTACATTTCTCCACAGATTTTGACCAAACTTTCACAGAACCTTTGTCACCAATTGCCCTGATTAACCAGGTTTTCCGAAGGAAAAAACTGGTTATTAGATTGAGGTATGTTGGCGGGCGGATGGGCCGACGGGCGGGCGGGCGTAAACAATTTCTTCTGTGCGCAACTCCTTCTACATTTCTCAACGGATTTTGACCAAACTTTCACAGAAGCTTTGTCATCAAGTGCCCTTGGGCATATTGTCGGGGTTTTGCGATTGGATAATATTTGACCTAATTATGACCCTTTGTTTTTTTTCCTTATATTGAATATATAGTGAACAATTTCTTCTTTGCGCAACTCCTCCTACATTTCTCAACGGATTTTAACCAAACTTTCACAGAAGCTTTGTCATTAAGTGCCCTGGCGCTTATTGTCAGGGTTTTGTGATTGGATATTGTTTGATCTAATTATGGCCCTTTGTTTTTTTTCCTTATAAAGAATATATAGTGAACAATTTCTTCTGTGCGCAATTCCTCCTACATTTCTCCACGGATTTTGACCAAACTTTCACAGAACCTTTGTCACCAATTGCCCTGGGGCATATTGTCGGGGTTTTGTGACTGGATAATATTTGACCTAATTATTGCCTTTTGTTTTTTTTCCTTATATATAGAATATATAGTATATAGTGAACAATTTCTTCTGTGCTGAACTCCCTCTACAATTCTCAACGGATTTTGTTCAAACTTTCACAGAAGCTTTGTCATCAAGTGCCCTGGCGCATATTGTCAGGGTTTTGTGATTGGATAATATTTGACCTAATTATGGCCCTTTGTTTTTTTCCTTATACAGAATATATAGTGAACAATTTCTATCGTGCGCAACTTCTCCTACATTTCTCAACAGATTTTGACCAAACTTTCACAGAAGCTTTGTTATCAAGTGCCCTGGCGCATATTGTCGGGGTTTTGTGATTGGATAATATTTGACCTAATTATGGCCCTTTGATTTTTTTTCCTTATACAGAATTATCAATATATAGTGAACAAATTCTTCTGTGCTGAACTCGTCCTACATTTTTCAACGGATTTTGTTCAAACTTTCACAGAAGCTTTGTCATCAAGTGCCCTGGCACATTTTGTCGGAGTTTTGTGATTGGATAATTTTTGACCTAATTATGGCCCTTTGTTTTTTTTCCTTATACAGAATATATAGTGAACACTACTCAGTGGCAATTCCTCCTACATTATTCATGTTTTACATTGCACATAGTTACATTGTTTGTTGCTTGTATTTGTATTTCAAATACAACATATTTATCTACAATGGTGATAATTGAAAACCTGGTTTCATGGCATTGCCATGTTTCTTGTCTACTTAGTCTCTTGGTTAATGTTTACATGCAAGTTTTACATATCTCAATAACTATTAAACATATTTATTTAAACTTCACATATGCATTTAGGGTCATAATTGTAGGTCACTGACAAAGATTCATAATTCTATCTTGCATTTAGGCTGATTTTTCTCCCCTTTTTCAACTTAGAAATTCATGGTAAAGTTTTGCTTGTAAGCTGTTATCTCAATAACTACTGAAGGGTTTGTGCCGTTTTTGGGACAATTTTATGCATTCATAATAATAAAGCAGTGATTTACTTGATAAAACATCTTAATAACAAGCCTTTGTACCTTTTCTGTCAAATTTATGTATTCATACGTAATTAGTATTATTATACTCAATAAAACACCCTTGTGACATTACCTTCCGAATAGTCAAGCCAATACTGTATAATTAGACTCTCTCAGGCCTATAACATGAATTTATAAAAAAAATAGCCCTTTTGTGAACTTAAAAATTTAACTTTTACTATCAAGCACTTAGAATAGTCGAGCGTGCTGTCCTAATGACAGCTCTTGTTTATTATATACATGTACATTAATGATTTACCACTTTGTGTCAAACAATCAATTACTGATATGTTTGCAGATAACACTTCATGACTACTACTGGCAATACTTACAAGAAGTAAACAGCAACCTTCAAAATGATCTTAATAATATAAGCACATGGTGCATGCAAAATGCAATGGTTCTGAATGCTTAGAAATCTAAAGCTATGTCCATTTGCTTGAAGCTGCTATTTTTTGGGGAGCTTTGTATCATATAAATGCTCTGAGGTACATAATACTAAGGTGCTTCACTATGGTGATTTGTATCATTCTGTGGGGGATTTCAATTCAAGAAATGTACTTGTTTAACATTTACAGTCCTGATTCCTGGCTTGTCAAAAAAAGAGTATTGTATAATTATTATGTACGTATTTTCTTTCCTTACAGAGGTATCAAGTAGTGAGAAGACAAGCTATAGGGAGGAGACATCTATGGTGACAGTATTAAATGCTGACAGTATTTACTCTACCTCATATTCTGCTCTCAGTCTCACTTTAAACCTCAAAATGAAGGGTTACTATGACAACAAAGAAGCAACACTTATACCAGTGTCTGAGGTTTGTTATGAATATTGAATTAAAGCAATCAGTACAACATTGTATGTTATCTCTTAAACAGCATCTTAAAAGGATAAGCCGTTTTATACACTTGCATTAAAAATACATGTAGGCTAATCAGACAAGTAAATACTTTATTTATTGCTTTTAAAGAAGTAAAAAGAGCAGTGATTTTGTTAGCTTGCGGTAAACAATATTTTATTGAAATATCTTTAAAAATCTTTTCATTTTAATAAAAAAAAACTACTCATGAAATTTTATGTGTTGAGTAGGAAGGAATTTTGTTCAAAGTAATGTGAAAACAATCTCATGTTTTTTGCTTCAACAATATCATGTATTATCTTGCTGTTAAAATGCAATGCTCTTCAATTTATAATAAATCATCCAGATTGTTAATAAAATTCATTAGTTTATCCTGATACCAGTACATGTTAGATCTTTTTGTCGGAAATTAAGCAACACATTGATATATCCAAATTAGTTTTCACTCATCATGATGTAACAGTTATAGTATTTACATTTCTCATCACTGAACCTATACCAGTACACAAATCATCAAAATAACTTATATTGACTGACCTTGCAAACAGTAAGTTAATTGCGTTTAAATTATATCTAAAATATTACGAAATGATCTGCATTTATGTTTAACCAAAAACAAGACTCTTCTTCTATACGTACTTTCATCTATTTATTGATATCCTGTAATTATATTACAGCGTGAGTTTATAGACAGTGTATTAGATACAGATATGTTCCTGTATCTATCCCCGGACTGGCTATCTACTGTATACAAGAATGTCCTTGACACTGATATATTAGAAGAGGCCGGCTGGAACCATGATGATGATGATTCACCTTTAATAACAACTTTAAAAGGTAGTAGTTTACATTCATGATGAAAATTCATTTGACATTCTTATGTTTTAAAAGTTGTATACGAAAAAAAAATTCATGTTACATATGAAGCTTAATATTTGTAAATAAATATACATGACAGGATTGAGGTGTTTTGTTACATTTTTAGCTCGACTATTCGATAAGAATAAGTAGAGCTATTGTAGTCACCCGAGCGTCGGCGTCCGCGTCGGCGTCCGCGTAACCACTTATGTTAAAGTTTTTGTAATAGTTTAAATATTTTCAAAGTCCATTGACATATGGCTTTGAAACTTTGCACACTTGTTCACCATCATTACCCCAACCTGTAAACAGGAGGAGGTAACTGTAATCAAGCATTTTGACAGAATTATGCCCTTTTTTTCGACTTAGCATTTACGTTAAAGTTTTTGTAATAGTTCAAATATTTTCAAAGTCCATTGACATATGGCTTTGAAACTTTGCACACTTGTTCACCATCATGACCCCAACCTGTAAACAGGAGGAGGTAACTGTATCAAGCATTTTGACAGAATTATGCCCCTTTTTTCGACTTAGAATTTACGTTAAAGTTTTTTGTAATAGTTCAAATATTTTCAAAGTCCATTGACATATGGCTTTGAAACTTTGCACACTTGTTCACCATCATTACCCAACCTGTAAACAGGAGGAGGTAACTGTATCAAGCATTTTGACAGAATTATGCCTCTTTTTTGACTTAGAATTTACGTTAAAGTTTTTGTAATAGTTCAAATATTTTCAAAGTCCATTGACATATGGCTTTGAAACTTTGCACACTTGTTCACCATCATTACCCAAACCTTTAAACAGGAGGAGGTAAATGTATCAAGCATTTTGACAGAATTATGCCCCTTTTTTGACTTAGAATTTACGTTAAAGTTTTTGTAATAGTTCAAATATTTTCAAAGTCCATTGACCTATGGCTTTTAAACTTTGCACACTTGTTCACCATCATTACCCCAACCTGTAAACAGGAGAAGGTAACTGTATCAAGCATTTTTTTTTACAATCAAGCACTAAGAATAGTCGAGCGTTGCTGTCCTACCGACAGCTCTTGTTAAGTGTTTGCAGGGATATTTATAGACATTTACAACCAGGTACAGTCACATTTGTTCAGTCCCAACAGACTGTTTAGAACACATGTCTACCACTTGGCTCAATATTGGAATCTGATTAGTAATCAGTCATTGGATAAGGTGAAATTTCTCCTTGACAAACTTTCACTGCTGATGCAGAAATCATTTCAAATTAGTAGTGACTTATTGAGAAAAAGTAACAACTGGTAACTTATCCAAAAAAGACAAAGGGGTTGATTGAAGGAAGAGATATGTCCAAATATTGTGTTAAGAACACCTGGATCCTTGTCTAAGATTGAATTATATTTTAGATTTGCTTGTAATGAATCTAAACTGAAGTCTACAACAAAAATCTATATATAACATGTTATGGTAATACAATAAAATTTTCAGATATAGATGGTGAAGGTAGTCATGCTATAGGAGGTCAGATGATGCGAGGCAATAGTTACGATGACGAGGATGATAATACTTCACCAGCGACTGATTCTCAACTGGTCAATGCTGGTATGTATATATCTGACCAGTGGTGATCATCTTATTCTAGACTCCATTTCCAATCATAATATTGTTATGGGATATATATTTTAATTCTAAAAACTTTGATGGTGAGGATTGAATACTTCTATAATTATAATGCTTTTTAGACTGGTACTAGGAGGTTTTAGAGATATTACACTTTTCATGAACTGTATTTTCAATTTTAATGTAAGCTTCATCTTTATCCATGTTTGATTCTGTTAAAAGTTAAAACATGAGGCAATATAATACAAGACTTGTAATACAATAGTCATGCTTTTCTGAAAACTGCCTGTATATAATGTTATTGTATGAATAATTACTAAACAGGTAAGCTGTTGGCCAGTGAGATCTTATCAACATGTTGGGATGGCATCTTGGATGTTTTGTCAGTACTGTTAAATGGCAAAAGTGCTATTGGAGTGACAAACACCTTCGCGATCATGATCGGCACAGAGGGAGCAAAGGAGGAAAGTCTGAGGAAACGAGAAGCTTTATGTAAATGTCTAGAGGGGTTACAGACTGCTGCTAAACTCTGCTGCTCATTAGGTATTGCATATTGTCAAATTTTTGTAGTGTTATTCTCATACTTTCTTGATGAATAGAAATCTATTATGGAGTTTGACATAGGAAATTCCCAACCTGAGGGTGACTCAGGTTCCATTGGAACTAGCCTTGATGAATCCAGAAGGAATCATTGCCTGAGGTTTTGTATCTTACAGTCCTCACTGATTATTTTTTTCTCTTAGCTGGACATGTAAGAAACTAAAACTGTCTGTAGCAATTTCCTGTTTGAGTTGCAAAAAAAAGTTGATATATACAGAGGTCTTTATACACAGTGTCAAGTACATGTACAATCTCGTATTAGCATTAATAATTCCAGTACATGAACATTTTCCAAGATGAACGCCTTTATTTATGACAAAAAATAGGCAATATTCAATGTATGACAAAAAGCTTAAACATCTTATTATCAATTAATTATCACCTACATTCCATTATATTACTCAAAGAACATTACTTGGCAATTTGCAATCAGTTCTAGTAAGAAGGGAAGTAAATCCAAGTGTTCATATGAATAAGTGATAAGCAGTTGCTTTCCTTCAATCAAATTGTAGATACATGTAAAACTGTATTATTTAAGTCCACTATTTTGAGAAATTCTGTTATGATTTAAAACTGCAGGTAGAAAACATGGAAGAAAAGAAGGAAAAAGTTGTCAGCTATAAAGCAGATTTCAAATTTGTTTATTATGAGTCATAAATAGTTAACAAAATTGTTAATTTAAGATATTGGTAAATATTATATGCATTTAATTGAATAAATCATTTTCTTTTTAACAGGTTTACAGGAAAGATGTGAAGGGGTTTTTAAACTGCTCGCCAACACTTCCTGTGTGATGGAAGATTTCAAACATGCGACTTTCTCCCTGACCGACAGGACCTCACAGAAATCATCTATACTCTCACAGTCGAAATCCAAGTTAGTGCGGCTACATGCGGCGCATGTGTTAAGTATGGACGCCATGATGTCTACAGGTTTAGAGATTGGCAGTCACTCTGCCGACTGCTGGAAACAGGTGTTCCGGTATGGCTTTCGCTTAATTTATTCAGCTTAGTTTTCAACTTATTTTGAATAAATACAAAGAGGAGTTTTAAAGGATATATAATGATGTATGATTGTTTTGGAAATTTTGACAATGTCATGAATGCAAGCATTTTAAAAAAGTAAATGTCTAGGACAAAAAATGACAGATTAGGTCAGAATTGAATTTCACTTTTGTTGAAGTTTGAAGTGTGCACCCTAAAGATGAGCTACCCTAATGTAAAACTTAGGAAACTTTGGCAATATACACATACATATAACATATAAATAGCTGATATCTGAATACACATCTGTTTTGTTTAACATTTAAGATTGTTTTGTGTTTGCTTGGATCTAGTTTTAAGAATTGTGCCTTAATTTTGTTTATAATGGATATGTATATAGGATTTAAGTGATCAATAAACGGGTATATTGTAGCTTAGGTAATTATCAAGCATATTTCCTGTTACAGGTGTTGTGCATTTATCTCGGAGCTGGAACACACTTACTTCAGTAGTGGTAATAACCAGTCCAATCTTCCCAGAATACAACAAGAGCATGCAGTTGGCATGGCAACACATGAAGAAAGGTTGGTATTCTAATTTTCATATGTGATCAATTTAAGTGAAGCAGTTTATTTGGGATTACGGAGGCAGTCTTTGATCTTGGGTATGAATAATTATGGGGTGAAAAAAAAGATAATTCCTCATAAGACATCAATACTTTCCAGGAAGTTAACTGATTTGATTTCATGCTAAAATTTAGCCTCCTATGCTTAGATTGGCATTTAGTTTAAACATATTAATTTTTGCTTGATTGAGAAACAAGTGATTGCAACTTATATTAATCACTTTTGATTCCGCTTCCTGGAACTAACCAGAACAGGTGCCATATGAGATATCATGGTCATGACCTGAGTAGGGCTCGAACCCATGATCCCGTGTTGAGAGGTCCGGCTCATACAGTATATTGTGATAACGACTATGGTCAACCCATATATATATATATATATGAAACAGATTGGCACTTATTTAAGGCTTTTATGTATATATATGTATAAATATATATTAACAGTGTCTTTCTTCAGTTATTCATAATGAAATATTTTGGTGCATGGTCAATTGAAATCTGTAAAATAGTAAAAAAAGATATTTTTTTTCTTGAAAACTTAATTCTTCATATGGTCTGTGCAAATTGATGTTCTTGTATTATTTTTAAAGTTGAAGAAACAATTATTATTTTTTGTTATTTTCTTCCCCTATAAAGTGATCATCTCATGTTTATTTCTATATTACAGTGATTGTGAGATGTATGGTGTACCAGTTACACCGGTGGTACCTGTAGCACCTAGAATAAATGTACCGGCCCTGATCCGACAGAGCTGTATAGAGTCAGGATGGGACAGGTCTATTTCTGGAGGAGGGATGTTAAACTCTGTACAAGCTTCACAAGCTTTATGTGGACTCTCACAGCAAGTGGACAGGTACAGAATGAGAACAATTTGTTGAATAAAATATAATAATATAATATTTTTGGATGACTTCAAACAATATGATTAAGTACAACTATTTAAAAGACCTAACCTGTGTTTTTTTGTTAATCCAGAGATGTCTGGTTCAATCTCCAAACAAGGCAGTTTTTCTATACAATTGATCTTGGACATTGATTCTTATCGTCATTTGTCTCTTACGGCTGACTCAGAAATCATGTAGGATACGTAGTCCGTCACTTGTTGGGAATGTGGTGATTAGTAAAAGTTATCCAGGAAAGCTAGTATGCTGAACCTACAGCCGAGATATGATGGAAAAAAAATCAGTATGAAAACCAGACAAACAAATAACAAACATGCAAAAGTTCTAGTTTCTTTATTGTGTGTTTAGAAACTGTAAAATGAGCTGATAAACAAAGATTCAATGGGTTGGGATATACTGAAATTAAACTTTACATTTAAGGGTATGGGGGCGATTCATCATTTCTATTTATTATTGCTTTTCATTGATCAATATGCATATTGTATTAACTTTCATGTTTCTGTAATAATGAATTTATTTTTCAGATTATTTGAAGAAGCAGCAAACAATCTAAACATGACCTCACTGACGGCCTTCCTGTCCAGTTTATGTGAGTCCAGCAAACATCAGCTTCATAAAATAACTAGAACAATAATGGAGGAAGAGGAGTACCCTGGTGAACACCACAACTTACCTGTAAATTCGTTACACCTGTATAGGTTACAGAACGTTCTCATGAAGGTTGTTCATAGTGACAGACCTCTCATACATCTCATCAAAGCTTGGAGCGTTGTATCATCTTATCTTGTAGAGGTGAGGTTTTTAAACAGGGACATTCATACATTGTATGGTCTCATTCTCAAATTGTTTCATCAAAGTTTGTAAGAAAATTTAAAGAATAAATGTTTAAAATATGACAGGAAGATAAACAAGGGAATGTGGCATTCAAAGAACAAATCCCTGAACACATTCCAGCAACATAGAACCACTTGAACAAGGTTTATCAAACCTTCTGTTTAAAATTGTTTCATTTTACCTAGGTTTCTACTAGTTATGCCCCCATTTCGAAGAAAAGGGGGTATATTGCTTTGCACTTGTCGGTCCGTCGGTCCGTCGGTCCGTAGACCAAATGGTTTCCGAGTGATAACTAAAGAACCCTTAGGCCTAGGAACTTCAAACTTGGTATGGTGATTGGTCATGACCAGTAGATGACCCCTATTGATTTTGGGGTCAAGGGGTCAAAGGTCAAGGTCACATTGACCTTGTAAGCAAAAACGGTTTCCGATCAATAACTAAAGAACCTTAAGGCCTAGGAACTTCAAACTTGGTATGGTGATTGGTCATGACCAGTAGATGATCCCTATTGATTTTGGGGTCAAGGGGTCAAAGGTCAAGGTCACATTGACCTTGTAAGCAAAAACGGTTTCCGATCAATAACTAAAGAACCTTAAGGCCTAGGAAACTTCAAACTTGGGTATGGTGATTGGTCATGATCAGAGATGACCCCTATTGATTTTGGGGTCAAGGGGTCAAAGGGTCAAGGTCACATTGACCTTGTAAGCAAAAACAGTTTCCGATCAATAAACTTAAGAAATTTAAGGCCTAGGAACTTTAAACTTGGTATGGTGATTGGTCATGATCAGTAGATGACCCCTATTGATTTTTGGGGTCAAGGGGTCAAAGGTCAAGGTCACATTGACCTTGTAAGCAATAACGGTTTCCGATCAATAACTAAAGAACTTTAAGGCCTAGGAACTTCAAACTTGGTATGGTGATTGGTCATGATCAGTAGATGACCCCTATTGATTTTGGGGTTAAGGGGTCAAAGGTCAAGGTCACATTGACCTCTTGGGTAAAAACGGTTTCTGATCAATAACAAAAGAACCCTTAGGCCTAGGAACTTCAAACTTGGTATGGTGATTGGTCATGACCAGCAGATGACCCCTATTGATTTTGGGGTTAAGGGGTCAAAGGTCAAGGTCATATTGACTTTGTAGGTAAAAACGGTTTCCGATCAATAACGAAAGAACCCTTAGGCCTAGGAACTTCAAACTTGATATTGTGATTGGTCATGATCAGTAGATGACCCCTATTGATTTTGGGTCAAGGGGTCAAAGGTCAAGGTCACATTGACCTCTTAGGTATAAACGGTTTCCGATCAATAACTAAAGAACCCTTAGGCCTAGGAACTTCAAACTTGGTATGATGATTGGTCATGACCAGCAGATGACCCCTATTGATATTGGGGTTAAGGGGTCAAAGGGCAAGGTCACATTGATCTTGTAGGTAAAAATGCTTTCAAATCAATAACTTAAGAACCCTTTGGCCTAGGAACTTCAAACATGGTATGGTGATTGGTCATGACCAGCAGATGACCTATTGATTTTGGGGTCAAGGGGTCAAAGGTCAAGGTCACATTGACCTTGTATGTTAAAACGGTTTCCGATCAATTTACTAAAAACACTTAGGCCTAGGAACTTCAAACTTTGTATGATGATTGGTCGTGACCAGCAGATGACCCCTATTGAGTTTTGGGTCAAGGGGTCAAAGGTTAAGGTCATGACCAGTAGATACTTGATAACCCTTATTAATTGTTTGATCACTGGGTCAGATGTCATGCATAATAACCTTATCACATGACTAACTGGCTGCTGATAGGGGGCATACATGTTTTACAAACATATCTTGTTTTGTTGAAGGTTCTGACAAAACTGGTTTTTGTTTTACCAAAATTTCAGATAGAACAGCATGTAGTTTTGTTATTTCGAAACTTCTTTAAAAGTTAATACACATTTTGAATATTTAAGAAGCCTAAATTACAGTTTCTGTGCTTATAGATCTGTTGTTTTTGTTTCTGACTTGTGTGATTAGGGTTTCACTGTAGAAAATCATTATTAATTAAGGTATTGTCCAATTTTGAAGTTACATATAATGTGTCATATTTGCAGGTAACATTTTTGCACAAGTTTTGTCAGTGACAGATAATCCTGTCATCAGATATGTAGGTATTTATTCCACACATTCTGGACCTGAAATTGTTAGATTTTACTTTCTATGAATGATATTTCAACATAGTCATATTTCTTTTATATTGTAACAGTCGGCAGGACATAAAGACCGGAGTATATCTAAGATGGCAGTTACATGTGTACATGATTTTATAATAGCTGTGATGAGTGGACATCCAGAATTACAACATTTCCACACAAATGAGATGCTGTGTAAAACATTTGAGAATATTCTATGCCTAGAACTCTGTGATGGAGATGTCCAAGATCAGGTTTCAACTATTTTATATCACATTTTAAATCTGTCAGTTATCTTAGTTATGCTGATTTATATAAAAAAGCATTATAAATATTATGGTACTAAGGTAAAACATTTAAGATTACTATTCGGATTGTAGTGATTTTTCCTGCTACAAACAAATAACATACAGGTTTTTAGAAGCCAATACGTATTATAAATAAGACTGGAGTTGTCTGTGTGTCCACAGCAATTTTGTTTCAGCAGGATAACTTTTCAAGAGTTTCAATAATTGTGTTTATATTTGGCATGATAGTATGTTATATCAAAACACAAGGTTAAGTTCAAATTTCACTGCAATCAACTTATAATTGATAGAGTTGTGCCCCTTTTTAAGAAAATTTTCTGTGTAATTATTGGTTTTCATGTTATAATATAAAAAAAACAGGATAAGTTAAATATCAATGATTGTGTTGTTTGCATATTTGTTGCAGCATTTTTGTTTGTTTTTTAGCTTCTGTCAAATCTCTTAACATCTTGGTATGTAAAACATATCCATGTTTTTAACTCCCTATAACTTATTTAGAATACACTGCAGTTAAAGATATTTTTTATAAGAAACTTTATTTACTGAACTAAAAAAAATTTTTAATCTATTTATTTAAATTTTTATGTCATTAACATTATAGATGACATTTTCTAACATATACGTTATTGTTTTAGATTGTATGTTCTATTTGTGAACTGGTGGAGGCATCAGCCTCAGACATCAGATCTGGCTGGCGTCCTCTGTTTGGTGCTCTGAGGGCAGTGAGGATAGAGTATACAACAGTTGAGGAGGTGAATGAGGCTAGACAGAGGCACGTGGAGGCTGTGCTAGATGTGTTTGATGTATACCTCAACACAGATAATATACTCGTGTTTGCTAATGCGACGGTAGACTGTATACTGTGTTTACTGAAGTATGTCAGGGGCCCAGGTATGTAACAAAATTTGAGAAATCAGGTCTTAGAAATTTTGCATTGCTTAATACTTTTACATCCTTTGATAAAGAATCAGTTTGTAAAAATTAAATATTTCTATAAGAAACACTTTAAACATATTAGGCTTTAATTGTGATAATTTGAATGTGCTTTTATGTTCTTTCAGTAGCAACTGGGGCTGAAGATCCAACCAAAAAAAACACCAGTGTGGTTTAGTTTCAGTCTTTGTATAATGATGTACCTGTTAACTATTTAGATATAAGTTTGATCTTTTATTACAAATGTTTTTCAAGATGATCAATCTCTTTTTGTTCCAAAAAAAACCCACCCATATCATGTGTCCCATGTTTCAGGAGAGTTTGAGGACTCGGATACAGAAGATACAGATTCTGTAAGTGATTATATGACATCATCTCCGGCGTCTGAGAACCTGGTTCTACCTGCGTTAAATTATCTCAAACAGTGCTGCGTAATTCTACAGTCCATGTGGAAAATGCCAGCCTGTCCTGTCTTTCATGGAGCTAAAAGGTGAGTACAATACCATGGATCAATATCCCTTATTGTTTGTGTTTTTGGTAAAAAGAGTATTCTTTTAAAATTTGTTTGACATGGAAATTATAAAAGGTAAGGAAATTTCAACTACAAATATATTATTCCGCCTTATAAAATTTTCAGTTGTGAGGAAACTATGTAAATAATTCATGAGTGATATAAGAATAATAATATCTGTCATATTTTGCGGTTCGGATCCGAATATCCGTCCCAAGGTGATCCGCCCATTGGGCGGTAACGAGGCTTGCCGAGTTACCGCCCATGGGCGGGTGACCGAGGGACGGATATTCCGATCCGAACCGCAAACATATGTCAGATATTTTTTCTTGCATTTTCTACCATATTCCATTATATTTTAAATGCTTTATGACAATTTATATCATTACAACCGTAACTACTTTCATTCAACAGCGTATGAATTACAAAATCATTCATAACGGTAAAATGACGTCATCTTTATCGTGCCATTGTACAGCACGCGACTCATCTGGGAACCCCCATGCCAGATGAAATTTCCGGCATGGGTAAAACTAACGGAAATGCCAGTCTGATATGCAAGAAATCTTAGCTCTTGGTAATATTAGCATAATAAAACTTGAATACGTCTGATTTTCTATGCAGGATTCAGGTGGACAGTACTCACAGCACTGTGGATAGAGATATACCAAACATGAACTTTAAGAAATTTTCAAAATATTTTATCCTGGATGAGGAAGTAGGTGACCAACTAGCTACAGATAAATCTCCCAGTCATGAGAATGTGGAGAAAGTTAATGGATCTGAGGATAAATCTCCTAGTCATTTTGTAGATAAATCACCAAGTCATGAGTGTACAGAAAAAACTAGTGGAGATTCTACTAGTCTTCTCTCTAATGATTCTGGAATTCTACTGACTGCAAGTAAAGGTTAGTGGTGCCTATAACAATCGAAGCATGTTGTTCTTTCTAAAACTACTGCGAATTCACTTATATTCGTGGGCATGAAATTTCGTGGATTTATCAAAACGGGCATTTTCGTGGGTTCTTTAATTCGTGGATTTTCATTTTCTTTAAAAAAAAAATAAACAACCTAATAAAAGTAATCTTACAATTAGTCGCCGCACATTTTTACTTACCGCATGGACATATTTTTACGTATCACACAGCGCTTGTCAATAATCTAATCCTTGCTTCTAGGCATAACATAAAGATAGCAGTTCCTGCCGATAATTGACTGCAATTAACACATCTAGATGACATGATATGCAGCTCCATTGTACACACTGCCCCTGTGATTCGCCGATGTAAACATTGCATAATTTATACGACCCCTGACACGTTTTAACCAGCAAGATTACACCCTGAATCGGTCTTAGTAACTACACGCAACATCACATAGACCGTGTAATTTACATGCATATAAATTAATATGAGTAAATAATACTAGATTGTGCGGATATATTAAGAAGTCGGCAGCGTATTTGATGTTTATGGAATAGCAGTCGCACAAATACGGATTAAAATTCATTTAAACTGGATCATTTAACGACAACAAAAGGATGTACAATTCATCCGTTTAAGTGATTGTTTATTCTTTTTTGTGTACTTAACTTACGACATTAATATCAAAGATTTCTTTAATTCTATTAACAATTAATAAGAGCAAACTAACAATTAATATTAATTAGCGCTAATTATTGCACTGGTTTCCAATTTTTACTCGATTATGTCAAGTATTCTAGATAACACAGTCAAGTAGCCTTCAACAATTAGGCAGTCTATACGACCGAAACTCAGGACATACATGTATAATCAACTTTGCTTTCAAGTTTCTTAAAAATTGCAAGCAAACCTAAACTATTTATAGACTTAATCTATCACTAACCTGATTATCTGTATGTATACATGTATCATCATAACACAATAATCGACCGGAAAAGCGGCGACGCATGTATAGAATAGAGACATGGTTAGATAAAATTTCGTCGGATCTTAAATTCGTGGATTGACTTACCCACGAAAACCACGAAAATTCGTGCCCCACGAATAATAATGATTTTACAGTATTCTCTTTCTCAAAACTCATTAATGGGTATATACATGAATATTTGGTAAGAGTCTCTGTTAAAACTTATCAATATACAGATACTTTCTTATTTTAAATATTGATAAAAGAGCATACTGCAACAATTGTTAAAGAGATTTAACTATCCTAGGATTGTTTTGAAGTGTGAAGGAAAAACAATAACCTCCCTGTTTATTCCAGAATTGTATGTTTGACATGGAGGTGTCATATTGAACATGTTGAGCAAATCACCAATTGTACCAATAGCAGATTTCAAAGAATTAACATCATGTTTATAAGCTAAAGTTTTATTCTGGCAATCAAGTATGTAATTCATAATTAGTTTTAAATCAGAAGAATCATGAAAATGGTCAGCTAATCAGAAATTTTCTATATTGTTTTAGAATCCGAGGAATGTTCGAGTACTTTGTCTATCAGTTTAGAGCAGTTAGACAACCATACAGGGATATTACATGTGTGGTTCCTGATGTTAGAAGGACTGTCAGGGGCCATCTGTGCCTGCCCCCGGTCATACCAGCCCCACACCATGGAGACAATGTTTGACTTGTTAAGGTCAGCGTCACATGTACCAGGTAGGTGTTACATTTTGTTTTTGAAAAAAAAATTTTTGTATCCAGGTGTTCGATCTGAATTGAACTGAAAGTAGTGCACCAGGACTGGTCCTTGGTCTTCCTCATATGTTAAAAACTAGGAAGGCAAAACTTGTATAGTGAGTCTTAATTTGAACTATTAACACTTAAATCTGAAACCAGAAATGTGTAAGACCCAATAGATGTCCTCAATTGATTTTAAAGTATATGGCTTACAACCAGCAAGTCAGATGCAAGTCCTAGTTTATCCATTTTGGTGGAGAAAGGTTTATCATTTTAGGCGACAAGTTTTTCATTTATGACTGTCTGTTTTACAGGACCAAAGTTTGTGGTATACAGTATGAATCACTTGTTATTCCCCATGCTACAATCATGGTTACGCTCTGGTAGTAAGAAGTTTGGTTACTGGGACACTGGGGCCACCAACTTTAAACAATGTTGTGGACATATTACAGATCTTGTCGTCGATCTTCTACATGATTTTAAAGGTAAGAGTAAGTATATAACCCTTACAATGAAACAGAAACTGAAACTGCAGAACCTTTATCACCAGTAAAGAGTGAGACTTGCCTGCTCATCCTTGCCTCTGACCTAGATCATTTCTTTTTGGTGATCAAACTTTTATTGTGGCTTACCTTAAATTGATTCTGGGAGTTGGTAAATAAAGTCCATCTGTTGTATTATTTATTGCTGATATTATTATAGCAGCCTTCTTATGGAAAGCCAGTGGTTCTACTTATCAGCCCATTCATGACTTCATCCAAGTTTTTCCTTTACCTGTAAATTAACCAGCTTCCAAATTTTTATGGTAACATACCTTTAACTGATACTTAAAGTTTCTCAAGTCAATTCATTACATTAGTCATTGCTGAAATTATTACAGCAGCTTGCTTATTATTATGCCCCCATTTTGAAAAAAAGGGGGTATATTGCTTTGCACTTGTCGGTCCGTCGGTCCGTAGACCAAATGGTTTCCGAGTGATAACTAAAGAACCCTTAGGCCTAGGAACTTCAAACTTGGTATGGTGATTGGTCATGACCAGTAGATGACCCCTATGTATTTTGGGGTCAAGGGGTCAAAGGTCAAGGTCACATTGATCTGAAAGCAAAAACGGTTTCCGATCAATAACTAAAGAACCTTAAGGCCTAGGAACTTCAAACTTGGTATGGTGATTGGTCATGACCAGTAGATGACCCCTATTGATTTTGGGGTCAAGGGGTCAAAGGTCAAGGTCACATTGACCTTGAAAGCAAAAACGGTTTCCGATCAATAACTAAAGAACCTTAAGGCCTAGGAACTTCAAACTTGGTATGGTGATTGGTCATGACCAGTAGATGACCCCTATTGATTTTGGAGTCAAGGGGTCAAAGGTCAAGGTCACATTGACCTTGAAAGCAAAAACAGTTTCTGATCAATAACTAAAGAACCTTAAGGCCTAGGAACTTCAAACTTGGTATGGTGATTAGTCATGACCAGTTGATGACCCCTATTGATTTTGGGGTCAAGGGGTCAAAGGTCAAGGTCACATTGACCTTCAAAGCAAAAACGGTTTCCGATCAATAACTAAAGAACCTTAAGGCTTAGGAACATCAAACTTGGTATGGTGATTGGTCATGATCAGTAGATGACCCCTATTGATTTTGGGGTCAAGGGGTCAAAGGTCAAGGTCACATTGACCTTGTAAGCAAAAACGGTTTTCTGATCAATAACTAAAGAACCTTAAGGCCTAGGAACTTCAAACTTGGTATGGTGATTGGTCATGATCAGTAGATGACCCCTATTGATTTTGGGGTCAAGGGGTCAAAGGTCAAGGTCACATTGACCTTGTAGGTAAAAACGGTATCCGATCAATACCTAAAGAACCTTAAGGCTTAGGAACATCAAACTTGATATGGTGATTGGTCATGATCAGTAGATGACCCCTATTGATTTTGGGGTCAAGGGGTCAAAGGTCAAGGTCACATTGACCTTGTAGGTAAAAACGGTTTCCGATCAATAACTAAAGAACCTTAAGGCCTAGGAACTTCAAACTTGGTATGGTGATTGGTCATGATCAGTAGATGACCCGTATAGATTTTGGGGTCAAGGGGTCAAAGGTCAAGGTCACATTGACCTTTTAATTAAAAACGGTTTCTGATCAATAACAAAAGAACGCCTCAGGCCTAGGAACTTCAAACTTGGTATGGTGATTGGTCATGATCAGTAGATGACCCCTATTGATTTTGGGGTCAAGGGGTCAAAGGTCAAGGTCACATTGACCTTGTAGGTAAAAACGGTTTCCGATCAATACCTAAAGAACCTTAAGGCTTAGGAACATCAAACTTGGTATGGTGATTGGTCATGATCAGTAGATGACCCGTATAGATTTTGGGGTCAAGGGGTCAAAGGTCAAGGTCACATTGACCTTTTAATTAAAAACGGTTTCTGATCAATAACAAAAGAACCCTTAGGCCTAGGAACTTCAAACTTGGTATGGTGATTGGTTATGACCAATCAGATGACCCCTATTGATTTTGGCGTTAAGGGGTCAAAGGTCAAGGTCACATTGACCTTGTAGGTAAAAACGGTTTCCGATCAATAATGAAAGAACCCTTATACCTAGGGACTTCAAACTTGAGATGGTGATTGGTCATGATCAGTAGATGACCCCTATTGATTTTGGGGTCTAGGGGTCAAAGGTCAAGGTCACATTGACCTCTTAGGTAAAAACGGTTTCCGATCAATAACTAAAGAACCCTTAGGCCTAGGAACTTCAAACTTGGTATGGTGATTGGTCATGACCAGCAGATGACCCCTATTGATTTTGGGGTTAAGGGGTTAAAGGGCAAGGTCACATTGACCTTGTACGTAAAAATGCTTTCCGATCAATAACTTAAGAACCCTTATGCCTAGGAACTTCAAACTTGGTATGGTGATTGGTCATGACCAGCAGATGACCTATTGATTTTGGGGTCAAGGGGTCAAAGGTCAAGGTCACATTGACCTTGTAGGTAAAAACGGTTTCCGAACAATTAACTAAAAACGCTTAGGCCTAGGAACTTCAAACTTTGTGTGATGATTGGTCATGACCAGCAGATGACCCCTATTGAGTTTTAGGTGAAGGGGTCAAAGGTCAAGGTCACATTGACCTTTTAAGTAAAAACGGTTTCTGATCAATAATTCAAGAACGCTTAGGCCTAGGAACTTCAAACTTGGTATGGTGATTTGTCATGACCAGCAGATTACTCCTATTGATTTTGGGATCAAGGGGTCAAAGGTCAAGGTCACAATGACCTTGTAAGTAAAAACGGTTTCCGATCAATAACTAAAGAACGCTTCGGCCTAGAAACTTCAAACTTGGCATGGTGATTGGTCATGACCAGCAGATGACCCCTATTGATTTTGGGGTCAAAGGTCAAGGTCACATTGACCTTGTATGTTAAAACGGTTTCTGATCAATAATTAGAGAACCCTTAGGCCTAAGAACTTCAAACTTGGCATGGTGATTGGTCATGACCAGCAGATGACCCCTATTGATTTTGGGGTCAAGGGGTCAAAGGTCAAGGTCACATTGACCTTGTAGGTAAAAACGGTTTCTGATCAATTTACTAAAAACGCCTAGGCCTAGGAACTTCAAACTTTGTTTGATGTTTGGTCGTGACCAGCAGATGACCCCTATTGAGTTTTGGGTCAAGGGGTCAAAGGTCAAGGTCATGACCAGTAGATACTTTATAACCCTTATTAATTGTTTGATCACTGGGTCAGAAGTCATGCATAATAACCTTATCACATGACTAATTGGCTGCTGATAGGGGGCATACATGTTTTACAAACATATCTTGTTTTAGTTGGAGCCCATTTGTTACTATATCAAATGTCAACCTTTACCTTGAAAGTGGTCGTCAAAAGGACCAAATCCCAATTGCTATGTAATGACTATCTGAGCTCTATCCTGATTCTATATACCTTACTGATAAATGTTAACAGTTTTAATAGGATAGACATATGTGGATAAGATCATTGATTATATGTGAATGTATTATTGTAGATGATGAGAAAGTGTGTAGAATGATAGAGGAAGTATTGAAACAGCTCCTTATAGTTCTCACAGAATGTGTCGCTCAACCATTTGAGGTCATCTCTAGATTAGGATGTTCTTGTATAAGGTAACATTTCTTTCTTTCCTCTTGTCAATGCACTTAAAGATTATTTTTGTCTGTTTCTTATTTGTTGCTTTTTTATATAGAATTATTTTGATAAATTTTGCTCAGTTTTTTATTTAAAAAAAAATCTCATTATTGGCAAGGTATTGCAAGCTAATTTATCATTGCCACAAATATATTTTCCATGACAACTTTTGTGATGTTGACCATTCTGAAATGTTTCATACCGTCATTTTCAAGAAGCTATAACTTGTTCCTTGACCGCCAGTATAGTGTTAGGTTAGACTGTGCAGGCTGGCCAGACTTGTACTAGTGAAATCAAATCACACTGATTACTTTTGTCTGTGAACTAGGGGGTACCTAAAAGTTAAATGATATTTGTCATACAGGCATATCTTGCTGAGTGCACACATGGATTTCACAGAGAGTATGTGGCGAGTGGTGATAGACAGTTTAGAGAACGCCCTAGACGTAACGACATACTGCCTGCGTCAACTGATGCTGCTGTTCAAAACAAACTCAGAGAACTTTTACGGGGATATAGGTCAGGTTAAAGTGGCAACCAGGAAAGATTGCTCTATGATGGAGTTTGTGAGAATGTGGCATTTAGCACAACAGGTATGTATGGTATTATATTTAAATTATTATGACACATTGAATTTAAACACTTTCTTTCTTAAAATTTTATACAATGTTTTGAGTGATTAGCCTTTGCCAGGCTAGCTTGCACATGTATGCAGTCTGACCAGGCTCTATACTGTTGGCTGATCAACTTCAAATTTTCATTTTGATATCTAAAATATACTACGGAACAAATTCATTTAAGAAAATCAGTAGGTAAAGTGTTAAAATGCATATTTCTACATATATTTGTAGATATAATTTTAGGCTTTACTCCGTGTCCTATGAAAGGTATCTGTACTGTTAATTTGTCATTGTAATATAGATTCTAAGTATTTGTTATTTAAACATTATTTATTGACATTATGCCAATCCAAGTGTAAATTGTGAGTGTACTGGACAAAGTCAAAAAAACTAATAATTTTCCCATAATTGCTATCAATTTTTTTAGTTTTCTTCATATGTATAATCAATAACCATGACTCAAAGATAATGCTATAAATATACTTCGGAATGTATGGTTAACATTCTGTCAATAAAAAGGATGGTGCAGTCTTTCTACTCTAGGCAGTTCCTATATTTTATCCTAAGCATTTTTCATTATCAATAATTGGTCAGAGACCATTATAATAGTCAATCTTTTTAAATATATAGCCAAATCAGCTCAGCTCGACAACAAATGAGCATATCACAAAGTTGTTTTGGGGTTTTTGAATTTCTATAATGCATTAGTCCACTGTTTTCATCATTAACAGATTGGCGATCCCTATCATCAGTTAAAATGCTGCTAAAATTGTTTGTATTTTCAGCTTGTAGTTTAAAATATCCCTCTTGACCCTTAGCAAAAACGGCTTTTTCCTTGGTACATCTGACAGTTTTAAAAAGGAAAACACTTTATTACATGCTTTCCGGTGGTTTATAGAAATATATCAGTGAAATATAAAACTGATATTTTTACTGTTTGAAACAGTAAAATTATCAATTTGATATTTTTACTGTTTTGAATTTAAGCCCCTCACATTGTTATAGTGCAAGACCAGCATGCACAGTACTGGAAACCAACTTGATAACATGATGTTGTAAATGAGGTCACGTTGTATTATTATTTGGCGCGCTTTTCATTTAGTATAAGCTTAAACTGTCTTTTTAAACGTTTCTTTGCTTTGCTGCGCCACTCATGAAATATACCTTTTGGTGCTCAATTGGTGAAATATATTCCGATCTTACACTGAACTAAACAAATATCCTCTATGTAGTATACAGGTATATATAGTAGATAGAACGTAAATGTTGTCATGTATGGTGATTATATATATTACAGGTGTTCCTATTAGACAGTCAGGTGAGTGTAGAGGTACCATCAATAGACAGTGCGGAGGACAAGTCGTATGTGTTCCTCCTATATCCTCCTGGTTACGAGAACAGTCTGAACCCAGATCATATTCTAGCTAGGTATGTTACATGTTGTTTTGCTGATTAAAATCTAATATAAATATGTGTGACAAATATTTCTTTTTGACTTACGTACTTTGTTAGCCAGAAGGATAAGGTATCTGTGAAATCATTGAGAATGGAGTTTATTACATTAGGAACAGATGGTTAAATGGTAACAACAGTTTAAATAACATTGTCATTAAATTTTGGCCTAAGCATTTTATGTAAAAGAGCTTGGCTTTATTTGTTGTTCAATTCTGTTAATGCTGTACACAAACAGACATACATAGTGTAAAAAATGTTCAATGTTTGTGTTATTATAAGAAATAATAAACTTATCAAGAACATGTTAATAAATGGAGCAATTTAATCCTTAAAATAATGTGAAGACATGAAAATTTGCGTGACTTTGCAAGTGTTTTTCTCACTATGATTCAAAACTCAGTTGGGCCAAAAATCGCTGAGCCTATCACATATATTTGCCTGCTAAAAAAAATATATTTGAAAAGGTTACCAAGATTCCTTCTGAAATATTAACTGTGAGTCTGCACAGCTGTGCATTTTGACCTAACTTTATACTAAAGGTTACTTATTTTAGACTACTGGTACATGAACTAACTAAATAAGGACAGTTTCAACTTCAAATTAGGACAAATCCATTACATAAAATATTCAGAGAATTGTTTAAGGGGTTATTTTCTGAAATGTCCAAGACTTAATGGCACTAGCCTGGCCTATGATAGGCTACCTGTATATTATAGCCTTATTGGTCTAGAAAATTATTAGTATAAGAAATAAAAGGAAATTTAAAGCACCATGCCTCCAGATGAGCTAAAGTCTTCAATAAAATCAAACTTGGGGGAAAATGTACTAAAATTTTTGAAAAGTAAAAAGATTCAAGTACATATGTAATAAATAGCATGTTATGTGCGATTTTTGACTGACTTTTCAGTATTCATAACTAAATTTCTAATGCCTTACACATTCAGTTAAGGCTGTTTTTGTATATTTTTACCTCTGTTTATTATACTTTGGTTGTAAGTGCCACTGATAATGTGTAAATTGCTTCCTTTTGCTTACTTCACAATATGATACTTTTAAATACATTTTAAACTTTTCATGAAAATTAGCTAGAAATCTTGAAGCTTGCTGCTTTAATACTTTATTATCAAGTATAAGATTGCAAATTTAGTAAACAAGCTTTTGGAGGTCTTTTTACAGGATGACATGATATTTGTGGCTATAACTTGGTGATTCTATACTGCTAGTTGTTAGAAAAATATCTCTTTAAGGAGTAGATGTATTAAACATTACAGGACATTTACAAATTCTGATGAAGCACCAGTAGGGTAAGATTCTAGAGGGTGATAGTATCTAGGTGATAGATTTCTGGGAGAAGGAATGATTTTTTTTGCTTGTCAATGAGATATTTGTCTTGCCTTGATTTTATACTTCTTAAAATTTGATAAGGATTGCATTTTAAAAAGGAACTTGGAAAAACATTTGTATGATTACTGCAATATTTTTAAATCAAATTATACATGCATGGATATGTATAGACAAGACTTTACTTGATAAACTTTTAACTTTTCACCAAAATATTTTCAAAGTAAACTTGAGGTCCAGTTTGATTTTTCTTTTTGAATTTTAGGAAAGGTTTTTATATGATATTTTATGGCTTAATGACTTGCAAATTACTCTAAAATATTATTTAAGGTTTTTATTAGTTTAATTTCTGAGCAGATGTATTCTGTTTTTTTGTGGAAGTTTCTTTTAATGTCATTGGTGATGGTATTAAATAAAACATATTTCTTTGCCTGCTGAGTAGAGGAAATAAGAATATTTCATAAAAAAAATATCATATTTCAGTGCATTATGTATACACATAACAATAAGAGGGTGACATTGTCTAAATTGATTGTTACAAATGCTTGACATAAATGCTTTTAATTTATATGAATGCATGAATGCTCTTTATAAATTTTTATTTGCATAGCCTTTAACTCTAATTGAACTGCCTCATACTTCATTTAGATATACAATCAATGCACTATAAAGCTAGTATTGTAATCAACTCTAGTGGTTTCAAACTACACATATGTAGTAAATTAGCATCATAATGTAATAGTCCAAGTGACATAACTCTAGTTTTCACTCTCACAAGGCTTTTTTCCCCTTTATTAGATTAGCCTTTTAAATCATGATGATATTACATTGCTAATTTTGTTCCAGAAATGTATGTATAAATGATTTTAATTGATAACAAAGTTAGTAATTCTGAGTTTGACTCATCATGTCACAGACTTTTTTGTATTGAAACTTTCCTGTCTTACAGTTAGTGGAATATAGACATAAATCACATAATGCAATATTATTACTATAGATGTATATGTAAGATAACATTTTAACTGTATTGACTTCAATTAGATTGTTATGAAAACTTGATGATGTTAACCAGCCTTGAGTCCACTTCCTGGAATTAACCAGTTTCGATGTCAATTTAGGATAATTGGTAGTAACACTTAACCATGAGCCTGACAATAGAGACTAGGCTGTTACTGCCATAATGCATTAAATCCTGCTTGGATCTTTTTTCTCGAAAACAGCCTTATTTGTGTTTATTACAGTTGGTCCTTAACAAGAGGTTAATATTCTCTACAAGTATAATAAGGTCAGGGATAAGAGGGACATACAGTTGACTTCTGTAGAGATGCAGGTTTAACATTGTATTTCAGAATTTATAATTTTATTTCAGAGTTCCGTTCCGCAGTATTGTAGTAGGTCTATTGTCGCATCAGTTACTGTTACAGACAGTAGGCTGTATTCTTCTAGAGGGTACAAACACCCCAGACAGTCATATGCCAGGTATTGTAATATTTTACTTGTATTTTAAACTTTGATGTCCGTGGCTGAGTGGTTCAGGTTGTTGTCTTCAAACCACTTGCCCCTCAATGCTTTAGGTTCAAATCCCAACAGTGACTTTAGTGGATTCTTTCATGTGAGGAAGGTATTCAGCGAGCTTACAAACATCAGTGTTTCTATTAAGGTGCCCGCTCTTGCCTGAAATAATGCACTGTGTTGGTGTGATGTAAAACCCAACAACTTGTCTGCAAAACTTCATAATTATTCTAATTATGAAAAATTATCCAAAATTGAAAATCATTGCAACTGAAATTGGGCTAAGAATAGAAGAAAAATATGATTTTCAATTTTATTTGTGAGCATATTTCTTAATAATCTTTAGTATATCTATCTGTTTTAAGTGCTCCAGCTGATCTTTGTAAGAAATTCGAATTTTATATTTTTAGACTTTTGAACCTCAGTGGAGTTCCTTTAATAGTTCTTATACATAATGTTAGTTATAAATGTAAAATTGAATTGCACAAAATATTAAGATAGTGCTATCAAACATCAATAATTCTGATTTTATACTAAACCTAATATCAAACATCAACCATTTCAGGAATGCTGTCTCAATTAACCACTAAACATGTGATGCAGCTTCTTGACTGTCTACGTAACTCCTACAAGTTGGCCTGCGAGTTTGATACTCGTCCAGGCCTGAAGTTTCTGGTGCAGAAAGTAGCCCACACACCTGTGGCTGTAAATTTGTATAAACAAGCTGGAGCCAGCATGGTGTTCTATATTCATACGCTGATCAAAATTTGCGCAAACATTCCTGACCTTGATAAAGAAATTGTAAGAACTCTTCTGCTGAAAGAAACTAAAAATGATCCTTCTGCAGTTGATAATAGAAAATCAGATGACAAAAGTCAGGAATTTGTGATAGATAATAATACAGAAGTAACAGAGAGAAATGATGATGCATTGTCGAACAATGATAAAGAAGAAATAAATAAGTCTTCCAATTTAGATAGTTCAGATAAATCTGAAGGTAACGAAACTGAGAAACACAAAGCTGGTGATGACATAGATGAGAAAAAAGGTGCTAAACTTACAAATTCTACCAAAATAGGTGAAAATAATGTAGAATTGTGTAGCCAAGTTATTATTAATAATCCAAAGATGTTTGTTTCCCAGCTTAAGACAGTGTGTGACGAATTGTGCGAGACGTATATAGACATTCTGTATGATAAATCGGGAGCCAGCTGTGTGGATACAATGTCCGACCAACAGTTGTTCTTCCTTATAGCGCAACCAGATGATTTTCCGGAACTTCCAACCAAAACTAAAGTAGATGCCAAGCAATTGAGTAAAGAGCTTGAAGAAACTCAGGCCCGATTACAAGGTCAAGGTCAAATTGTTCAGCTGCAGACAGTCGGAATACAGGGTAAGAAATAAAGTGATTTTCTTTTGCATGAAAGAAAAATATATAGACTGAAATAAGATAAGAATAGTATGTTTTACATCCATTATAAGAAAGTATATATTTGAATAGCGTGGTAACTTTCTATATCTAGTTATATTATGAAAGCAAGAAGTTTTCAGATGATTACAAAACAATGAATTACAATACTCTCGAACAAGGCAATATTTGTAATAATTTTTGGTACACAGATGTCACATCATAAAATACTGGAGGAGTGTTAATTTAGCTTCAGACAACTGATATTTCACATGATTAAAGTTTGTTTGGTGAGGGTTTGAATCACCTGAAGTGATAGCTCTAGGTGCTGCTGTTATTGATATTTAAAGAAATAAAGCAGTAGAAATCTAGATCTTATGTAACAAACTTTTTTTCAGAAAATGGTTCAACTGTCGGCAAAACTGCCAGTCAGGAGAAAGAGACAGTGTTACCTCCCCTTAGTCCTGTACATTCACATACCAAGAGTAAACGAGAAATGAGAACTGAACAAGAAAGTCGCGTTTATAACGTAGCAACGGACAAACTGATCAAAAATCTCATGACAGAGTATAAGAAAAGAAAGAATCAGAATGCCATGCCAACATTTGCCAAAGTGAACAAGAAAGATAATTCTGACAAGAAAATGAAGAAAAAGCAAGCTTCTAGTGACCCAGTGGAACAAGTGATTGAGGAGCAACAGCAGACGTCAATTATGAAGGTAAAATTGTTTGATATTCTTCTTTCAAAATAAGTAACAGCATAATTAATCTTGGTTCCCTACTTTTAAGAAATCTCTTGTCAAACACTCTGTAAAAACTTTATTTTCTGTCATTCACATGTCTTGAATGTAAATACTTGACCGCTATAAAAAAAAATCCATTTCAGGACAGTGAAGCACACCTACAGTCTTGGACTGAGTTGCTATGTACAATCCTTGGCTTATTTGACCAATTAGATGACAAGAAATTCACTACGCTCCTCCCATCTGTCTTTGAATCTGTCAATCATCTCATTTGCCACGCCCAAGACATGAGATTAAGGGAGGAGCTAGCAAGATGGTTGCACAGAGTTGGGGATATTTATTCTTTAGGGCCAAAAATGGACTAATTTCTTAGTTAGCTATAAAAAATGAAATAATTTTCCTAGCTTAGGCTGGTTTCTTAGTTAGCTATAAAAAAATGAAATAATTTTCTTAACCTAATTAGGCTAGTTTCTTAGTTAGCTATAAAAAAAATGAAATAATTTTCCTAACCTAATTAGGCTAGTTTCTTAGTTAGCTATAAAAAAAAAAGAATTTTCCTAGCCTAATTAGGCTAGTTTCTTAGTATGCTTAAAAAAGAAATGAAAGAATTTTCCCAGCCTAATAAGGCTAGTTTCTTAGTATGCTTTAAAAAAAAATGAAAGAATTTTCCTACCATAGGCGATACAACATGTGTGGTATACAGTGTTAACTTGGTGTAGTAACAAGCATTTGGTTTTAAAATTGTATCTGTGTGTTAATTGTAGACCTAAAATTATATAAAAAAAACATACTGGTACGCTTTAACAATAGGTAAGGTTAAAATATTCTTTATTTATAAGTCTTTATATTGTTTCAATTATCACTTTTATTTCAAAATGAAATTGTTGAAATGATGAAAGTCTTAACATTATATGATTATTGGGATACTGTTCTTGAAGACAAAATGTCACTGTTCATTTCAGTTTCACATTTTACAAGCAATACCATCAGTGAAGTATGACGATCAATACACCATTCTTAAATGTGCAATATAAAGAAATAGAGAAAGTTTAAAAGGGCTCTTTGCTTGCTAAATTGTTGTAACAGATCTGATGCATTAATGTACATGTAATATATAAGCTCTCATAACATAGAATGATACTGTTTACATAGAAATTTGTTGATCAACATTCAGGGCTCTCAGGTGGCAGAGTGATAAAGGTTTCCGACTACCAATCACATGCCCTTTACAGCTGTAGGTTTAAATCCTGTCAGAGTTTGTTGATAGCATTGGATACCCTCATCATCATGTTAGCTAGCTTACAGAGAGTTCATTGTTCAACTGATGAGCACTCTTGTGTCTGAAATAATGCTCAAAAGAGCATCTGAGTTATGAGCTATAAAGTCATCATAATGACCTTTTAATCAGCGTAACTTAAAACGGAACAAAACAAATCAAGATCAAATTTTTGTCATATATTGTAGCGCATTCATGTTCATTAAAAAAGAAATGATTGCAATAATTCAGAATCATATATATATATGACTTCGTGTATTGTGGTGCTTATTTCATCATAAAGTTTTACTGGCCTGAATTTATGGACTTTTGTTGTTTTTGACTTTGTATTGTCCATTGTTTGTTGAAAAGATTTTGAAAAAAAAACGTAAAGAGAACCATATAATGTCTTATTAGACTGCTCATATTTGCAGGCTATAAGACTGTATTAATTATTGATAGCATTTAAAATAAGGGGGAAAATTTTTCTGTAATATTTACATTCTATTCATTTTGTGTAAATTATCAAGAAGGTTGCAATACTCATGATTTATGTTTCTTTGTTTAAACTCCATATCATATATACGAAATATATAAGTTGTTGAATTTTTAGAAGAGAAAACTTTATCGTCTAATTCATAAAAGAGAAATCTGAATTATTTATTCTATGAAATTTAATATGTGAGTACTTTATATACATTTGAAAGATCTGAAATGTTTAGATTTATATAAATGAATGGTTTGAATTGTTTAGTGTACTGTATACATGATGTTCTGAACTGTTTATGTGTAAAAGATCTGAAATTGTTTAATTTATATATGAAAAATCTGAATTGTTTAGTGTACTGTATACATGATGATGTGAAGTATTTAATTTATATAAATTATGAAAGATCTGAACTGGAAAGACCTGAAATTTTATAAGAATTGTTTAAGATCTTGTTTATATTTGATTGTAATCAATCTGTTACCAAGAATTAATCAAAATGGCCTCTTGCAACAAACATAGTCTAGTCATTGCCACTAGTGTTGAATCATTTTATGGGCCTTAATTCTTTATTTTTCTGAAGTTTTCACACAAAACTTGCCAAATTTGTGTCACAGATTAGTCCAGTTTTGAATTTCAAGCATTCCAGTAGTATTTTCAAGGACTTTGATATCAAAAGTTAAAATAGAGTAGTAAGACTGGACATATTCTGCATGAAAATGCATGTATGCCTTCAATGCTTTAATTCTGGTCCCTTACAGGTCCCTTATTTTGGCTGGTAGTTCTTACTATATTCTACAAACTTGTGAAGAAAGCAGTTATAATTAGTTAGTTATCCAGTAATTGGTTTGTTATCCAGTAATTGGTTAGTTATCCAGTAATTGGTTTGTTATCCAGTAATTGGTTAGTTATCCAGTAATTGGTTTGTTATCCAGTAATTGGTTTGTTATCCAGTAATTGGTTAGTTATCCAGTAATTGGTTAGTTATCCAGGAAAGCTAGTTAGGTGGACCAAATGTCAAGATATGACCAAAAAATGTTTTATTATTGGTGTAAAAATGAACAAACAAACTATGAACAAATAAACTACAATTTTGAATGTATAACGTCAAATAACAATAAATGATAAATATTTGTTGTACATTCTGGGTGGTTATCCCTAAGGAGATTTAATTGGTACTAGCAGTTATATCAGTAGCATAAATTTTATTCTCAACTCAATCATAAATTAGCATGAAAAAGTTCAATCATTATACGGAATACTAATTTTTTAAACATTTGTCATGGAATTTTCATATACATGTACATGAATATCATATTTTGTATACCAAAACATGCTGATTTCATTTTGCATTAAAAAAACAAAACATTTTTAAGGCTAAATTTTCTAATTTAGTATATAGTTATTAATTAGTCATTAAAAATCCTTCATTACTCATACTTATTATGGTCTATTTGTTCATAACTGAAAGTGATATTGTGTTTTTAATATCACATTTCATAACCCTATTTTTATGTTAAAAATTAAAATTAGAACATGATCTAACGATTTTTTACGAAATTACCTATTTATTCACTCAATTACTGTACTAATAAGCACTGATTCATATTTTATTTCTGTCAAAGTATTGTCTTTCATAACAAAGCATTTAAACTTCTATTTTTATAATGGGAGGTGAAAATCTCTTTTAGAGCATTATGCTAGAATTTTTCTATGTTATATCAAAGTTCAAGTTTAATGACAAGAATGTACAAGAAAGAGAAACAATGCTAGTAAATTATTAATTACATTATGTTTTTATTGTCCAAGTAATTGTAAGCCTGGTCAAGAACTCAATATTCATTTAAAGACAGTATCGTCCCCTTAGAGCAGTAATGGGTTAACTGATGTTAAATTATATTAGGAGTTAACCCATTACTGCACTAAGGTGAGAAAATATCCTGATTTAGTAAGTGAATGGTGACCTATTAGTTTTTAATTGTCTTTGCCTTTTTACATGGGAGGTACGATGTCTAGCTCAACTTGGGGTACAACTATATGTCCTCGTATGACACCAATACTGGTTAGTTCCTTAGTTTTGGACTCAAGGGTGGTTCAAATAAACTTCCAGCTTTCATCACAGTGAAGCAAAAATAAATATATTTAAAAACCTTATCACCCTAAATATCTTGAATGGGCTTGTCCATCTTTAAATCTGTACAAAACTATTCATCTTTTTTAGGGAAAATTTTAAAATATTTACTAACTGAATAGTGAACAGTGCCATCTGGTTATTATGCCTCCGGGTAAAATTTGTTGCTACCAGCAGGCTAGGGGTTAAACTATGTTTGTAAATTTATGGAAAAGAAATAATTATGAGACATGATGGCAATGTGGTAATGCTGTTGGTGAATGAATATAAACAATTTAGCATAATTACTGTTTCAACACTTACTAATAATATAAGAGAATTTAATAAGTTTGATTATCAAATTGAATGGGAGAAGATTAGTCCTCAATAACGTCAAACACAGGGAGATTGTTGTTTTTTTTTCCCCATGTTAGAAATGAATTATAGTCTTGTCTCTGAATAAAAGCCTGGTTTGTTATATTCGTTTGAAGTTTTATAACTTAAGGATGAAAAGATGTAACAAATTTATTTTAATTTCTTCTTAAAAGATAGTAAGCAGTCATATTTTTAATCGAAAAACTAATTGTAGTTATTAAGCATTTTATGCCATTTCTTTATCCTTAGTAAACTTGCTGTAAAAATGTGTTATAACTGCAAATAGTATATTCTTCAACTAACATGAATCATGTTAATTTTTATTTCATTTTATGTTAGTCGCTAGTTTTTTGCGCTAAGCCTATCATATACAATTGCCAATTGAGATTTTTTTGTGAAAAATGTTATTATGTTATTGTTGTTTTTTTCTTTAGGTTGTGTATAGTTATATACATTTATATAATGTATATAATTGTTTGTAACAGGGAATTGTTATAATTTAGTTTTCAGATTATAGTATGTTATTTGTAATGTGTTATTGTATATTTATTTAACAATGATGATAAGATGATAATACTGTTTATTATTATATTATGGTTGTTATAATAGTGAAGTTATTTAATAATCTCTTACTACACAAAATATCTTACATGGACTTGTTCATATTTCAATTTGGACAAAAACATTCATAATTTTGTTGAGGGGGAACTTCAGAATCGGTACTTGCTGAATGGCAAACAGTGCAGACAATGATTAGATGGCAAAGATGTGTTGGGCTAATATTGGTCTGCACTGGTTGCATGTTGAGATTTATTTGCTCGCAGCAGACCTAAGGTTTACATAATACAATATTGTTGTAACATTGTGTTCAGATTGAATATAAATCTAAACTTTGTAATTATTTGATTGTTTAAAGCAGCAAGCCTCCAGATTTTTGTGAATTTTCATGAATATTTTGAAGAATGTATTTGAAAGTAAAATATTGTGAAGTAACCAAAAGGAAACAATTAACACATTACAAACAGCACTCGCAACCCACGTTAATTACCAAAATGAGGTAAACATATTCAAAAAAAGCCTTAACTGTGTTAGTAACGCAGTAGAAATATGGTTATAAATGCTGCAAAATTAATCATTACCATAATAGTAATCATTCTCAAAACATGTTAATTATAACTTAAATCTTAAAACTTTTTATACTACCTAAAATCTTGTTACTTTTTTCTCAGGTTTGATTTTATGGAAATATTTTGGCTCATCTGGAGGCATGCAGCTTTAACTCTGTACAATAATTAGAGTGACGAGGTGCTTTATTTGTACTGCCAGCATGTTATTTAATTTATTGACAAAAGAAAATAAGAAAAGTAACAAAACTGATTAATCATACATGTGAACTTTTTTTGATGATCAAGTGGGAGATTTTTCTTCAAAAAGAGGGAGATTTTAGAATTTGCAATAAACAAAGAAGGAAATTTTGACATCAAAAATAGGGAGATTTCTTTAATTTGTAAAAATACCCCTTATTTTAAGAAAAATCTTCGAAAATATAGCTGAAGAAAGTGGGAGTCTCCCGCCAAAAGTGGGAGAGTTCACATGTACATTTGTATGTGATTTTGTTTTTTAAGGACTTGCATTAAAATTGCAGTAACTGAATCAGGTAAAAATAACAATCCATATAATAACATGTGTATCAGTCTATATAGATCGATGAGTCTATATAGTAGACTGATCACTGATGATAACATGTGTACCAGTCTACTAGTATATAGGCTGATGAATGATTTACATGAAGAAGAAAGTAAACTTAATATTGAACTTCAAACTGTAATAATGATTTACAATGTTTGATAATGAAAACACAAAAGAAGTTATATTTTATATCTTCTATCTAAAGGTGCACAATGTATATCTATTTTGATTTATCTATGTATATTGATCCTTTGATTTACCTTTGTAAAATGATCAACAATACCTAAGCCAAAAGAATCTGATCTATATCTGCTTTAATTTTCTAATTGTGTTAACAGTTTGTTGATTTGTTTTTCTCTTTAAGCTTCTTAGAAAATATTAATTTTTGGATAAATAGTTTGTTACATTCATTTTAAAAAGTTTACAGCAAAATTTATGATTGTTCATAAAATTTTACTTAAGATAACTCGAATTATATACATGTATATTGATTGGGCCTGACATAACAATTGATATTTATCATCTTCAACTATTTAATACATTTAACATACTGTGTTAACTGCTGTTATAAAAATTTAAGTATTTAGTCAGATTGTCGACCATATTATTATCTCCCCTGAACTAAGACTTTAAGGGTTTTATGTTTTGTTTATGTCAAATTGCCAAAGAGTCTGTTATATAGCCAGTAAGTTAATTTAAAACTTTCTTGGCAAATAAAACACACAAAGGGCCTGATGCAAGCAGAAGTACAGCCATATAATTACCTATATATAGATACTGAAATTTTTTATTTCACTTACTTTTGAACGTTATTGATTTGGCTTACAAATTTACCAATCTTGATTATAACTCCAAGCTGTATTTTTTTTACCCTAAAATTCAGTCAATCAGACTTTTGTCAATAAGATTTTTGATTATTGGTAAGCAATTTGTGGGCCAGAGCTTTAAGGTATAAACTTAAAGAAGATACCATTTTTACCATCTGATTTCAGATATGCTTTATCGTCATCTAAATATATCTATTTATCCTGTCACTTGTATCAATTTCGACCCGATAACAAGGTGCCGTATATTTTTACTGATCTACGGCACTTGATCACGTGGTGTGCATGGTTTGCCGGACTACTTTTCAAGAAAAAATATAATTATTAATTATTTATTTTGGTGGTTAAATTTGTTTTCGCCTCAGAGTTTCCAATAGGAAACGCTCGTTAAATCTTTCTGTGTGTAGAATAACGAATTTTGGAAACGTTGATAAAAACATTGTTTGTTTATTTTATTCACTCTATAATTTTTTTCAAACGAAATAAAAATTATTAAAAGTGAATAAAGTGTTAATCTTAACTCGTTTGCGACATTAAAATAGCGTACTTGATTTGAATTGTTTTGCACGTGCTGTTTGGCGCTACATTTTGACGTCACGTAAACAATACTTTAAACGTCTGAGTAACAGCGGAACGACTGAATAAAAGATATTGGTGTTCGAATTCATTTTCCCTTAGTTAGACCACTTTCTTTCATTCTAGATAGTTTTCACAACAAAATTTGACAAAAAAATTGTTTTTATTTATCACATTTTTCAAACAAAAATGGCGCCCTCAATGGTGAAAATTACACAGGGAGATAAAAAGAACGGCGAGTGCATTGTTTGTAGAATAATGCACGGACTTCGGGCCTTGTTTGTTTATATAGAAACATTTTCGATAGTGTGATTAAAGGGATAGTTTGCCGAATAAAATTCTTTTTAAAAAAAACTGTGACAGGATAAATAGAATAATAGATTGGTGCTGTGGATGGAGAAAGTTTATCTGGCTCTGCCCGGAATTAATTGGGTTCGCCTTCAGCTCACCCAATAAATTCCTCCGCCTCGCCAGATAAACTTTCTCCATCCACGGCATCAACCTATTATTCTCTATATTGCTGGTTATTATTTGAGCATAATTTATGTTTTTTTGTTTAAAGGGACTCCATTGAGGTTTTATGACATTATGGACTGGAAATCAGTTTTTGAGATTACTGTTCCATTTGATTTAGATCTAGAACAAAATCTTGTGTGCAAAATTTCAGATCATTCACCCACTTGTTTATTTCCAGAATAATTATTCTTATTGTGAAAAATGACTCAAAATTGAAAAGCATCACAAGGCTTTCACTGAAATTTGGCTAAAAAAAGCAGAAAAAAAAAAAAATCAATTTTCAATTTATTTCTAAGTATATTTTTTAATTATCTTTTGCATATTTCCCTGTTTTAAGTGCCTATGATTATGTAAGAAATTCAAAATTTATATTTTTTAATGTGTTTAAACCTCAGTTGAGTTCCTTTAAAATCTAGTTATTTTGTTGCAGATTTTCATTCCCTATTGTTAGTGGTTGTGGTTATTACCTTATTTTAGTGCAATATTATTTATTGTGATTCAATCTTGAAATTCCCTATATTTACAAATAAAATAGTTAATTCTCTCCGAAAAACAGAATATGATTTGTTATTTTGTTATACCCTCAGATCCCACCCTGAATGATTGTATTGAATTTTCCTGCTTCGACCTTGGTATTGTTCATAATAACTGTTACATATATATTATACATCAATAAAGTTCTTACGGAGTTTAGTTAACCCGAGGAATATAGTATCTATTGCTTAAAAATGCATCCATCCCCAAAGGGGGCCAGTTTGAAAGGTATGTCCTTAATAAAGTTTTTTATTTAATGGCCCTACTCTGACCCAGCAAATTGTCAGGCCAATGAATGTTAATATTTTAATTTCCTAAATTTTGTGAAACATTAAACCCTATTTAAATGGGATATTTTATCTTAGCAACAGTTGTTTTGTACGTTGAGAATGTTAAAATTCTACCCTTTATTTGGCTCTAACCATGTGTCCTCGGCAGCTATAAAAAATTAAAATAACGTTACATAGGCATTTGTTAAATGCAATAAATGTTTATATGTGGCAATGAAAATTTTTGGGTCAAGCTTGTAAACTTTTGACCTTTTTACACGTCTGTCACCCGACCTTGCTTGTGTTGATTAGATTTGAATTTAAGCTGATTAAAGTCATTGAAATTAATCCAATTAGAAAACATTGTAAATGTAAGTTTTTGAGACTTAAATCCTCCACATGTGTGCCTAATCTGCAAGGTGCGTTTATTTCTTGTTTGAAGTCGGTGTTTGGGCGTACTCACTTGATATAAAACCACTTTGGTCCAGTTTACTGTCTAAGGCAAGCACGGTGAATGGAAGTTTACTGACCAGTAAGTTATATGATTGCAATTCTTTTCTCTTCCGAGTATGTGCAACATCTTTACAAATAAGTGCAGAATACATACATGTATTTAATAATCAGTAAAATTTTAAGTCCTGAAAAAAAGGTTATGTGTTTTATGAACTAAATAAGTCTTTAACTGTATGAAGATGTTGCTCGAATGGATGTTAAACTACTAGTATATTAATACCGGCTCTCATAAACCACTGGTTGCTCGCCCATATGGTCTCTTTCCGGTGGCGAGGGTAAACAAATCCAAACACACAAAAATAAACCACTGGCATTCATCGAAACTTTATAGGAAGATTCACTAGCGTGTTCCGGTTTATTGACAAGTCCAAGACGTAGGATATTTTTATGCCGCTTGCTTGTAATTCCTGTCAATCTTTTGATATGTACATGCATATTGTTTGTGGTTTGGTTCCTGAAGTTTTCATTAAAATAGTAAATTTATGTGATTACTATGCTACCAAAGATAGATATATAATAAATAAACTGCTATGGCTCAGTCCTACAGTCCGTTGGGTTTATTTATTTTTTTTATTTCCCTCTGCTTAATGCTTGCAAAAATAAAGACATTAAGCTAATTTGGTGAGGGTTTTTGGGCGAACGTCAACATTGCACAGGGTATTTAATAAATTGTGTTTATTCTATATAATTTAGTTCCCACTGGGGCAAAAATATATAATAAACATGTAGTAGTTTTAGTCCCAGGTTCAGAGAAAATTCCTGGAAAAGGGGAGATCTTTTAAGCAACGAAAACCACAAATTTGCATGAAAATTGCAGACTCTGTTTGAGTCTGTTCATGAACGTTGCAGACTTGGTTCATCTACATCTACATTATACTGCTTCAAAAACTAATCAGGCGCGGTTTCATGATGTTGAAAGCGCAACATTTATTTGACGTCTGTGCTTGTTACAACAGGTATGTGACAGTTTGAGATCTGTTCAGTCACCTTGGGTCATCATGCATGAACCTCTTATGTCAGAATGTATAGCCCTTTCTATATAATTTATTGCCCTTTCATTTATAGAGCAAGCGCTTTGACCTCACCAGTTAATACATGTCCTCAGATCGTTTCACTATATAATATACCATATAATGTTATCTGAAAGATTATAAAGTTCTCATCAAAGAAATACCAGTTAATGCAAGTTTGTTTCTAGATATTTTTCGCTCAAAGTTTTGCTTCTATTTAAATGTCGGTAAAATTATACCTGTATATATTCATCTTTCGTCAAACACTCGTCGGTCTATGAGGTTACCGCATTATTTCGATATGCTTCGGTTTGGCCTTAAATGCATACATTGACCGCCAAAATAGATCCATAGAAAAAGAATGTTTAGAAATAATATAACGGCATATGCCGAATGTTTAGAAATATAACCGTATATGCCGAATGTGAGAAATATTACCGTATATGCCGAATGTGATAAATATAACCGCATATGTCGAATGTGTGAAATATTACCGTATATGCCGAATGTGAGAAACAAAACCGTATATGCCGAATGTGTGAAATATAACCGTATATGCCGAATAAGAGAAATATAATCGTATATACCAAATGTGAGAAACATTACCGTATATTCCGAATGTTTAGAAATTGACCGTATATGCCGAATGTGAGAAATATTACCGTATATGCCGAATGTGAGAAATATAACCGTATATGCTGAATGTGAGAAATATTACCGTATATGCCGAATGTGAGAAATACAACGGTATATGCCGAATATAAGAAAGATAACCGTATATGCAGAATGTAAGAAATATAACCGTATATGCCGAATGTAAGAAATATTACAGTATATGCTGAATGTGAGAAATATTACCGTATATGCCGAATTTGAGAAATATTACCGTATATGCCGAATGTGAGAAATATTACCGTATATGCCGAATGTGTGAAATATTACCGTATATGCCGAATGTGAGAAACAAAACCGTATATGCCGAATGTGTGAAATATAACCGTATATGCCGAATAAGAGAAATATAACCGTATATGCCGAATGTGAGAAATATTACCGTATATCCCGAATGTTTAAGAAATATTACCGTATATGCCGAATGTGAGAAATATTACCGTATATGCCGAATGTGAGAAATATAACCGTATATGCTGAATGTGAGAAATATTACCGTATATGCCGAATGTGAGAAATACAACGGTATATGCCGAATATAAGAAAGATAACCGTATATGCAGAATGTAAGAAATATAACCGTATATGCCGAATGTAAGAAATATTACAGTATATGCTGAATGTGAGAAATATTACCGTATATGCCGAATTTGAGAAATATTACCGTATATGCTGAATGTGAGAAATATAATCGTATATGCCGAATGTGAGAAATATTACTGTATATGCCGAATGTGAGAAATATTATTGTATATGTCGAATATGAGAAATATAACCATATATGCCAAATGTGAGAAATATTACCGTATACGCCGAATGTTTAGAAATACAACGGTATATGCCGAATGTGAAGAATGATAACTTGATTATACGTCTCATTTCGGACATTTAGCTTGTCATTAGAATGTCATGTATTTCGTTTCCATATGCAGAAATTGGTCACATCAGAATAATGAATGAGAAAATATGATCTCTCATACTTGAATTAATATCATGCAGTATCGACTTTAATTGACATTATATCCATGCCTGGTGCAAAAATTCGGAGTTATATTTATTTTATGCTGTTATTAAATAACCGCAGACGACATATGTTTCCCTTTGATATCGGAAGCTCGTCAGTTTATATCATTTGTCTTCAAATTACATATAGAAATGTTCATGTATTTATTACATAAACCTCAAACATTGTGAACAGGAATGTTTTACGTATGGTTCAAATCAGGTCCAACTACTAATAGAAGTACTGTTTAGTATCATCCCTCTTCAAAATTCTGACCAAGAACAAAAAATACACTATGTGTTTCTCAGAATCTAGCTTTGGCTCGTCAAAATCATTTTGTTGTTGTTTGTTTGTTTGTGTGTTTGTGTGTTTGTTGTTGTTGTTTTTTTTTTTTGGTGTTTTTTGCTTAGATTAGTTAGTATACTCCGTACCTATTGTCTTTAAATAATGCAAACCAGAAAAAAACCGAATGAAAACCCGTGTACATGAAAACAAAGCAAATAAAGTAGAAAATGACAATTCTTTTAATGTCTTAATTCCAAGATGGATTTGTTCGGCTTTTAACAAATGTAAGGTTGCGTAGACCACACAAATAGATAGAAAGGTGTATGTTAGTCTCTACATATACAACGATAAACAAGCAAACAAGAAATAAATACAACTGTAATAAAACATAACAAACAAACTGAATGTAAAACCACGCAATATCAAATTCACTGGCTCGGTTGAATTACGGAAATACAGGTACACCATACTTGTGTTTTCTTTCGGGTTATGGAAATATCGGTACTCCATACTTATGCTTTCTAATATACTGAAGTCTATTACACCATATTTAATCAATACTCAGTACTTAAAGTACAGTTTATCTAATTTGAATGATGGAAATACCAGTACACCATACATGGCCATTGTCTTTAGCTATAGACATTAAAATAAGGAGATGGTTTTAAAATACATGCGAACAAATTAACCTTACTCGTTACCATCTCTTCCCTAAAACCTTCACCGCTTGACATAATGATGCAAGTACAGATTATTTATGCATTATGTACATGTATATCTAAAGATCACAGAAGTCAAACTTTAATACCTGTTGATATCAAATTAAAAATCAAACTAAACCTGGTATATTTTTATCAGTTACTGAATCGATAAACTGTTTGTATATATTGATTATTTACGACCAGGTATCTCTTTTGTAACAAACATTAACAGTGGTCTTTTATCCACAATCGGATATTTAATCCATTTTAACTTCTTTGCGGCTTGGTTACCCAGAATGAAAAAATCAATCGGTATTGAATTCTATCTTGTTAGGGTACACACACGATAATACGTGGGTACTTGTCCCGTGGCTGGTATATATCATATACTAATACTGCACGAAATTCTCGAGATTACTTGATGCGCATTCTGTGCTTTAGGTTCGTATGGACACATGATGTTTTAAACACAAATGGTCAACATGTCATGGAGCACGCATACTTGTAAGTTTATTTCTCAAACATATAACTTCCTTCACTTCTCTATAGAGGGCTCAAACACTTATCTTTCGTTTGTTATAGAACTAACATGGATCTCAACACTTTTACCAAACACATGTCTGTCTGTATTTTCGACAAAATCTGTATATTTACTCTTTACATTCAAAAACTGGAGCAGGTTTTTACAGTATTTGCTGATCCCCTCCTGTATGTCCGACCTGGTGTACATTGTCTTTCCAGAATTCATGGTACTGGCTCAGTTTACCGGCATCAATTACTCTATCAATGTCAGCTTCTCTGATAGACCTCTCCATCTCTTCACTTGGCGTGTACTCCCACAGCCGCAATATCGGTCTCTCCTCCGTCAAATGTAATACAAGCAAACACATTTTCAATTTCGCTGGATCAGCCAAGCCGTTTTGTATGAGCAGAATTTTACACATTGCAAGTTCGGCAATATCTAATGGTCTTGGCGTGTCAAGTCCTGTAACTTTTATGTTTATAGCATATGTGATGCCTCTTTTACCACAAAGAGCATCAACTTGACCCGCCAGAACTCTGACAAAGTTTGAAACCTTGACGTGTCCAGTGAGTTTAACTCCAACAGCTTCGAAGGATTCCCACCAAGATTCAATCTTTCTCTCGAATAACCGACACAGATTGCCACAGAATGATTGTTCACTAGTGTCTGTTGAATTTGGGGCGATTTGTTTGAACATGTCGTCTGCACCTTTGTGTATCATCAGCTGCAACATGGCCATGTAGAACTGTTGCCCCTGGTGTTCACGTGATACGTTTTTAAGGAATTCTCTATAGCGATTTCTATTCTTCTCGTGCTTATGGAGATCCAGACGACACGCTTCCTTCCGTTGTAAGAATGGTTCCCATCTTGACTTTCTTCCAGCATTATAAGTACATGTAACCAGTTCTTCACCTGAAATTGCAAAGGTCATGTGTCAATAAATAGAAGGTTTCTTTCGAAACATAGACAAGGTGATTATGTAATGTAATACATGTATGCCATTAAAAGTACAAATGTATTCACCTTTCAACAGGAAAACTAAAAGTTATATAAATGTGTAACATGTGACTGAATAAGAGTAGTTTTACCGGTATTTTTTCTTTCTCAATAATGCCTTTGGTGCCATATTACATTATATAAAATGATCAACAATGATAAGGTCATCTCATCCAATTGTAATAAGAAATTTTATCAGCATCTACATGGTGACTTAAAGCCGTCTACTAGGGCATCAGGCCAAAAGCACAGCGGTCATTAGGACAAAAACATTAATGGTTATCAGGGCAAAGGTCCAACAGGTCTTCTGGGCAAAAAGACCCAACAAAACATCAAGGGAGAGGCCTAATAGGTTATCTAGGCATAGAGCAAACAGGACATCAAGGACAAAATCCCAAAAGCATCAGGGCAAAAGCGCAATAGGTCTTGAGGACAAAGCGAAAAGAGCCTAAAAAAGCATCAGCGCAGTAGACCAACATGTTATAAGAGTGCAAATTGATTAAATATGTCCCCTTTGAATAAATGATAGAATACTTTAATTACTGTATTAATATCATTCATGTATCACGACATATATATCAAAACTTTAAATTATAAAATAAACTGCATATAAATACAAATTAATGTAATAGAATAAATTTAGATATAAAATAATTTACTGACCTAAACATTCTACTGCTATGAAAATCTTCATGGTGGTGAGGTCATACGTTCTAGATAACTTTTCAAGACGTCTCTTGAGCTCGTCATCATAACGTATAAGTGACGTCGTTGACGACATTTTCGACATATTTTTCCAGTTAGTATACTATTTCTCTTCTTCCTGGTTAATCTTTTTTTTTCAACCACTATTTTGTTGTGACTTAATGTTGTCTTGTATCACTATACATATATAATGTTAATCACACAACCATGATTTATTACCAGACATGTATAGAAGTAAAATCAGCAAATTCACGTTTGATTTTTATTATCCATGCGATTGTTTTTGTTTTGTTTTTTTTCCCTCAATATAAGCTAATAAACCTTATGGTTATCCTCACCGTTTTTTTTTTACACTTCTTAAATGAGGTAGGAAGAAAAAAACACGGTTATATATATATAATCAACACCTATCTGTCAACTGAGTCACGTGTAAAATCCCATTGTTTTTTTAAAATATGTCTCGGTTTTGTATTTGTAATCCATGCGGTGTCTTCACTTTAATTTCATTTGTCAAATTTGTTCACTCCCACGAATTTCTACGCAAGATAATGGTTAAATGTACATGTATATTAAAATCCGTTTATAAATCAACTCCTGTAATGTTTATAAATACAATTTGCGACTATTCATTTATATACAACGTTACTTATATTCCATTAATACTATAAGTAAGTAGTGTCAAAGCTTTATTATCGATACAATAAAGGTATAGAATAACCAATTTATCTTATTTGAAATACCTATTCAAGCAGGCGGCACATGGATTTAGTTCAAATATTCCATTAAAAGACCAGAGCTTTTTATGATCGCTTTACTATCTGGTATTTACATATACACAGATCAATAGAATATATATCATTCAAACTTCTTTTCACAAACATTCCTAGTCGTTAAACAGGAGCTACAGATAAATATTCCAGTTTAAAACTTTCAAGTACGTCTACATGAAAGTTTATTTGCACATACTTCATATATCCTTATGCATTTTATTCCTCCATTTTTATATTTTTTACTGCCAATGCACCACAAGTGTAATGTTTAACGCCCTGTACTTGTCACTAAATCGGGGATTGCTAATTTTACGTATTGTTTTCTATTCTTGTATCCATATTAAATTCATATTAACATATTTAGAACATTAAATATTTCAAGTTAACGCCGACGTGTTGCAGTAAAGTCAGTCAGTTCACCTATGAGTGTACTAATCTCGCTTGTATCGGAATGCCTCGTATCAATCAAGTTTTCCCCAGGGATCTCTAACTCTAATTCCATATGATTCTCAACTATTGTTCTGCGCGGTTTGATCGTTTATATTTATTGAATACACGACAAATTGTGCAAAAATCGTTCCCGGTGACAGATCAATACGTCAGTCAACATTGTTTATCATGGTTTTGTACAACATTTTAAAAGGTTTTTGTGGGTAAAAACAAAGTACCAATAACTAGTATTAGCCCGCCAGACAAGTCAAAACACAGGCTCGTTTGTTTTTCTAAAAAAGATAATCAATAGTACACGTATAAGTACTAAAGCTTCATAATTACCAACCCACTCATTAATCAAATATTTTGTTCAAGCTTTTTTAGTTAATAATAGGCATCAGAATTCATACGCACAGTGCATGTGAGCATTCTTATCAGATTTCGTTTAACATGTGTAGTACAAATGGAATTCAGCAAATCATTTATTTTATCATTTCTAAAAAAGGTTAGTGCAGGCGCGTTTGACTCAGCACAAGATATTTCAAGTTAAATAAGTTAAAGATAAATAAAATGATGGGGAATTAGAATTATAGAAATATCAGTCTGCTCACCGTAAAATAGAATGATGTATCAAGTCAAGAATTTTTTAATGATTTGCTTCTTTTACTTTTTTTACCTACGGAAACTAAAAAAACACCTTCATTTAGTGTCATCATGACGTGAAAGTCGACTGTTTTTAATTCGATTTGACTTTTAACAAATATCAATTTATTTCATTCATAAAGATTAAAAATTTACACCTTTTCTCGATATGCTTTGAGTTTTTGTCTTGGTTTTTGCTTTTTGAAAAACATTTGTTGGAATAGAAGAACTTCAAGCATTTTGAGATAAATGACAAAAAAATGACAAAAATGATCTAGACTGTGAATAAAATAAAATGATTTGTGTTAAAATATCTAATTAAATTGATCAAAATCAGTCGTCTTACGCCTCATGATTTCACTAAATGGAGGCTCTTTAACGTTTCCGTAAGTATCCAAACGTGAGCATTACAAATATACGACAGCAAATCAAACCATGTCTGTTTAAATAAATATAGTGACAATACTACATGTAATTGTTTATCAACTTATAGAATAAACAAAAATTGTACGCTAGTTTCAAAACGTGTCCCAGTTGCTTCAAATTCGACTTTGTATTGTATTGTACTTTATATTGCAATGCCGCGATGGTCGCATTGTCGTAAAGCCTTGTCGCGGTGTCATTTAACATTGTTAGTTTTGTCACAATGTCATATACGTAGACAAGTTGGCATATCGCGATAAAACGCGCTTTTGTATCACTTTGACGTGCAGTCATGTGGCATTGCCGCACTATCGTATCTCATATCCGAGATGTTGTGCTGCGTTGTACGGGTTCCATTTCGCATTGGTGCAATGTGATATCGCATTAGGTAGCGAGATAGCTCAATTGGTTAGACCACTGACTGTCACTCCTGAGCTTCAGGGTTCGATCCTGGGTAACACCCTTGGGATTTTTCAGAAACACTATCAGTGCTTCCCACCTTCCTAGAGGTATACTGGATCGAAACCCAGGTAATCCTCGCATGTATCAGTGATATACACTGGGCTTGTAAAAGAACCAAGGGATCTTTTCAATAAGAGCTAGGGACTGGTTCATCTCATAGATGTCTCAAGTGTCTGCTGAGGTGAAGACCCTACTGGAAATAAGTGCTTGTACTTTCGTTAATAAATCAATCAATCAATCATCACAATATTGTGCTGTTGTCATATCAAATCGCCGCATAAGCAAATCAAATTATTGTCATATAGAATTGTCGTGCTTTCATGTCGCATTGTCGCGCTGTCATATCGCAATATCTAACTGTCGTACACTGTATTACAATGCCACGATGCCATGGATGCTGAGCAGGATTGTAGCTGTTAGACTTTGCAATGTTGCTATTTTGTGCTGGATTGCCGCGCTGTGATATCGCGATGAACGCCGTTGTGCTGTACTGTCGCAAAGCCAAGTAGCATTGTCGTGGGTTAATTCGCAATAATTTATTATAAAGCAATATCGCATATAAGAAGAATAAGAAGTCGTTGAAAACGGAGAGACCGAACTGTATGTGCAGTTTATTTTGATTTCTTTCCTCCATTCCGTCAATAATGATTTGTTGTTGCTTTTTTCATCAATTTTGTGACACAAAATATTCCCGTTTACATGCCACAATACTTCCTTGTCAAAATGGTTCCATGAAATGCACGAGTTTGCTCTGTGCGCCGACACGATGTAGTAAATCTTATTGAATAAGTTCCGTGCATAATTACATGACAGTTTCTCATTATTGAAATAATAAGAAAATAAATTTATTCTATGAATACACTCAGCAAAATTCACATGACATACAATGAACTTTGTTGATAAATGTCTATTCGTACGCCTGTAGATACATCCAGTTGCAAATACACAGTGTCCAAAACAGCTACGAAAAATGTCCACTGTTTAAAACACCTTATGAAAACGGTGAATAATTAGTTGAGAGTGTTTCAGAGAGTCTGTTGCCATATTCACATATCAGGTCCTCAATACATATACTTCCTTACGTGCAAGTGATACTCTCTTGGCATCTCAAAATAAACATTATACGTTCTTAATTCTGGAACATCTCTTAAAATTTAACAATGCAAGTATGTATTTCTAAATTTAATTTGAATTTCCTTCAAAGACATATTCATCTTCACATATTTCATATTTTTAGGCAGGCTCTTACAATCTAATTTGAAAGCGTCTTCTATCCATATTTATGATATAAAACCATAAAAAATTGTGTTACAGGATCTTTAATGCTTTATGAAACTCTGGAAAGTTTTTGTCGTACATTGTGTGTATCAATATATTAAACGAGCCCCTTTTTGATACGTGCATTTAAATCCTTCAAGTCACTGATGTACAACATAAAAGAGGCAACATTATTTATTGTATTTAAAATTATGCTCCTTGAAAACTCGATGTCTTCTGCCTATAGTTATGTTGTATGTATGCTATAAACAGCAAAACGATTATTTTAGTTTGAATTTAAATAAAGATAAAGTTCTCGGACCACCATGATCATTTTAACAATAAATAAAAAAAAACCCGTCTCACAGCTGATACATAATCATGAACAGAACAGAACAGAATTTTTAATAACGTATACAATACATGTATCTTGTTAATACAACATCAAATTAAACACATACAATAAGCAATCCTGTTTTCAATATTTCACAGAGAATGAACAAATTATCATAATTGAAATATTTTGGTGCTTTAAGAATCAGCACGTTATGACAATAGTATACATGTGGTAAATACATATATTTAAATTTAACTTAAATATAATGCAAGTCCGGAGACTTGCTACATAGGAATGGGAGGTAACTCTTGAGCTCTTATTACTGAAACAAAATGTAACGCTGAAAAACGAGTATACAAAAAAAGCTAAAAAAAAATCCGCACAGACAATTGGGATCGATGAAAGAGAAGCATCTGTATCATAATTATTCACTGTCATAGTTGATGTCATTAAGATAATAAAAAGTTGAAGTTGATTTGCAGGTATAGCCAATGGCGACTTTTTTGACAGATTCGTTACAAAATTTTAAAAATCTTATCTGTTTATTAAATTTTGTTTTGCTCGGTCAGTGCATAACTGATTGAGGGGGCTTAATTAATATGAAGCTACTGAATTATTAAATTGACTGAGTAAAGATTTTTTATCATTTTAATCTGATTATATATATTTTAAGAAAGTTTGTGCAAAATTTTGCGTCGAACGATTATTTACTATATAGTCTAATTTTATTTTCTTTCATTTCAACGTAAATCTTCCATTAAATTAAATTTTCCTGATGCCGATAAACAAGAAATATATCATTATAGATACGAGTTTCCAAGGAAATGGTTTCAATCTAAAAGCATTCCGCGTGAAAAAGTTTAGTCTTGAAATTGGCGCTCATGATGACAAAAAGATTTGATGTGATAACACGCAGGTGAGCTGACGATTCTTTAAAATGAGAAATCAATATTTCTGCGACACTTGAAAAGGGAATCTGTTGAAATTTGGCGCGAAATTATGCATCTCATTTAGAGACGTGCAAAGCAATATAAGAGGCGGCAAAATCTTTTATCACCTGTGTAACAGTTCCTTTTATCTTTAATACCGAACAAAATATCGGTACATCTTCGTAACTACTTATAACGTCTTTTATTGTTAAAATCCATCTTAAGACGGGTTTTCCGGGCCCGCGGTCATTAGGTCAAATAATCGGCGAAAAACCTGACACACAATTTACGGTAGAGTAATTGAGATGAAAGGGACCGCCACTACACTACCGGTGAGGTAAGCGTTATCGATAGAATAGCCGAAACAAACTTCATTCAGTTGACGCTCAGTTTGAAATGGCGACAGTGTGTGTTTACAATACAGGTGATATTGGTCGGTGAATAAAATGTGATTTTCAGTGTTTTGGAATTTAAGAAACATGCCTTTTGGGTGCAGGAATATAGAACCCAGCCGTTTAGGGGCTCATGAGGTCCCACAGGATGAGGAATTTAACAGAAAAAGTGTTTTGTCTACGGTAGCGAATAACGCTATAGTAGGAGCACTTTTACAACTTTCAAGTTTGGTGAGACATGCGGATGATTTATTCTGTGACATCTCGGACGAATGTCAGAAAATTGTAGAACGGACAGAAAAAATATCCAAACGAATACAAGGCCTGAGTACCGCTGCTTCCAAACTTGATGCAAAGCAAGCCAAGATCCGTGAGTATTATATATACAGTTATATACATGAAGATTTATCGTTAAATGATAATGAAGGTGTACCAGGCTGTATCAACTATACTTATTTTAAAATGAAAAGTTAATGAAATTAACCTTGCTATTTAAAAAATCAAAATATTTGATAGATCTATGAATATACACTATACAGTACATATAATGAAAACAATTAACATTTTTATCATAATTATGTGTATGTATGTACCATATGAATTATAATTATTTTCTAAATAAGTAATAAAAAAATGATTGTTTGAAACAAGTCCAAAAGTTAAAAGTCATATTTGAACTTGCAGATAAAAATATAATTTTGTTTAAAAATATTATAGATAATTTAT